CAAGAAGAAGTTGTTTAAATGTTTTAACATATCTAAAAAGCATAAAATTATTACATTTTTTGAAATTATCACATTTTCTATTCGCAAAAACTGCATTTTTCAATTGATGACAAGTAAAACTAAAACATTTGCTGCTGTTTGTTGTTGTTTGTTGTTGTTTTGATGCAGTTTACTGCTGTTGGGTTTTTTGGCTATTATTTGCTGTTGTTAACTGCTGGTATTTGATGTTTTTATTGACAAAATTTGAGTATTTTACAATTTTTACTTGCAAAATATTACTGTTTTACATTTTATACTGACAAAAAATAATTTGTTTATTTTTGACATCCAAAAATATTAGCATCTTAAATTTTATAAATGCAAAACTTTACTTTAAAAAATCGACCTCAAAATATGTAATTTGAACTTCTCCGGTATTCAGTGATATTCTAATGATGGCTACGGGTCCCCTGGGTTGTTTACGATTGTTGGGGAAATTAAGGCTTGGTAAGAAGAAACGCTATAGATATGACCCAGTTATAATATGCGTCATTTCTAATATGTTGTCGAATTCTGTGTCTACGATATCTGCTGTCGTTCGTTCTCTTTACACATTTTACTTGCGGTGGAAACTGAGAAAAAGAAAAGACCGGATATCTGCGATAATGAGTATTCTGACGAAGAATGATTATTGGAATGTGTTAAATGACCACGATAGTTACCGTGGATTATTGATTTTTGAAATGTTTACCTTAGACTTGTGTAGAGTACAAAGGACATATTCAATTCTGAAACAATTTAAAATGCTAGCAGCACAGGAAAATGCATAAATAGAAGATGTTTGTCAGTCGTAGGGGAAAATGTTGTCAAGCAAGCAAAAAAATTATCTGAGGAAGATAAGGCATGATTCCAAGCACGTTTTAGCTTTTACGGGTCCTTCTAGGTTTTTTGAGGGCATAAAATGAAGGTAAATATAAGATCAGTCGTTCACAGATCATCGATTGACTACAAAACCAAGATCACTACAGTGTTCGAAGACAGGTGAAAAAACAAGACCCCTCGAGTCAAAATCCTTTCAATCGGCGTTGGCTACTCGTGTGATGCAGATTTGGCCAAGGTGTTTAACATCAAGGTGTGTGCTTTTCACTCGTTCTCATCAATTCCGTTATGCTTGGGTAAAGACTCTTAAATACAAGAAAGCAAACACCGTTTTGGAAGCTTACAAAGAAAGATTTACCGAAAGAGAAACCCAGTACTCGTCAGATCGGACCACGGAAAGGGGTTTTCTGAACGACACGTTTAAATACTATTGTAAATCCATAGGCGTCACACACATAGCAAGTCATCCCAAGTATAGACTCAAAAATTTCGACAACGAACAATTACAGGGTTCTTTCAATGGCCAAGAATTGCAGAAAGTGAATAAAGTTAAAGACACGACCTGGAACACAGAAGAAGTTTTAAAAACGGAAAAGTTACAGGAAATTAGCATTCGTTCGATGGTAAGGTTGGCCAAAAAAATCGATCCCGGGATCGATGCCAACGATGTATCCGGCCCGAAAAAGCATAACTATGGGGTATTGAAAATATATTTACACCATCTTTACATTATGCCTAACAATCACGTTTATCCGATTTGTTTTCAATCTTTGACGTGGAAATATTCCAACTTCTATGCGATCGTAGAAGGCGTTGACTTCCACGAAAGTTTGCCAAATCTAGATCGTTTGGACGCTTCACTCAAGCACTTGATAGTCTTAGACGGTGGCCGAAGTGGATACAGGAGTGATGTCGTGATTTACGAATAAAAAGTCATCACAGAAACATCAGCGTGATGTACATCGTACAAAACAAAGAACACAGATACATTATGAAAAATCCTATAGACGTTTCGCAAATCAGATGTCTGTCCCAACAGATGTTTCCGGGAGAAAGCACTCTTCTGCGAGAAACTTGTGATGACGCAACATCTAAGCCCAACGACTTTTGCTAATAGACGCGAAACAAGACACTCACCCTGACCAGCCTGCGTACCGATATATTTCCCGTACAATGTTAAAAGGTTTATCTTCCCTAAAATTAGATATAAGGAAACTGCATATCGAAACAATTTTCAAACATTCAAAACATGTCGTTTCTCGAAAAACATTGTAGGGACTGCCACGTGTAAAGCGACCCTCGAAAAGGCCGACGAATGTCTAATTGCATTTGTGAGTGCTTTCAAAACATATTACGAGGTCGCGTGCCGTTGACGAAACAACAGAAGAAACGTTTGTCACTTCATCAAACCGGTCTTCGTAACAAAAAATGGTATCGTCCGAAGTGGGGCTTACATTCAGACTCTGACACCCGTAGTGTTACCGTTAGCATCCGAACTCTTGGATGGACTGTTCCAAGGAATATGAGAAAGAGGTCTTTGGTAATGTAGGGATACAGTGTACGAATGGCGGCGATATAGACGGTGATACGTCAAACATCTTAAATTGAGACGATCTTCCGTTAGGCGATAAAATGGCGTTATATAATCAGACTTTACATAAGTACATGTCCAGGTACCAGCAACACAGACTTGATAGTGATAAACCTATATTGATGAATACCACCCACTCGGTGGGTGTACCGAAGGGCAACGCAGAGAACGAGAGGAACGTAGCTTCCTCTCCGGCACAAAATACTCCGCTAGTTCCTGTTACACAACAAAGAATCCCGACGTCTCATCGAACGGTACCTCCAGTCATACAACGAACAGTAGAAAATATCGACAAGGATATGGTGGAATGGAAAAATGATGATGATGATGATGATGATGATGATGATGATGATGACTTTAAAAAAGCTGGGAGAGATATAAACCTACAGATAAACATATCAAAAGAGAAGCTTGTCAAAAGGACAAACAGTCTATTTATTGAAAAAAAAAAAAAAGAAAAGAAAACACGCACGCAAACAAAAGTGTCTACGGACAAAACGTATAGTAGTAATTTTTGGTCAGAAATAACCGCGAGAGAATTTTTTCTTTTGTCAAATCTATGATTTAACTGTTGGCGATCAACAGGGTTCTTTGTGGGGTGCTTTGTTGAGCAGAAGTATCGGCTATCCATCCATTACAAAGAAACATAACATAACCCTACCTAGTAACAGTTCAAGGGAAAATTACCCTGATAATACTTACCACTTACACTACGCGATTATCGCAACCTCTAGACCTCAAAGGTTCTTGGGAAATCGGTTTAGTCGAAATTCAATATCCTTATTCTTGGTTTAACGTGAACGAAGGCGAACTGTGGTCAGAAAAGATCGTCGGCAGTAGTGAGAACGTTGCTTCTGCGCAGTTCGATCCAAGAGTATCGGTGAAACTATACGTGAAGGCAAGTTATTTTCCGACAGCCTATTGGAATATCTGTGTGGATCTAAAGGAATGGTCTCGCACGGCGACATATTTAGAATTAATGTCGATGACGTCGACTGTAGAGTTACGTTTACGATATCGGTTGGCTTACGTATCGTAGTGAGCGAAAGATTTGCAAAATTGTTAGGTTTCGAGTAAAAGAGATTTTCAGAGGGAAAACATACGGGGAATTACATGGCAGACGTCAGACAGGGATTCTATTCCATCTATGTATATTGTCCGTTAGTAGAACCTCACGTGGTAGATGGCACGAGACTTCCGCTAGTTTCCATAGAAGACAAACCAGGACGTGCCGTGAGTAAGGAATTTCAACCCATTCATTACCTTGCTATCCATCAAAGGCAATTTCAAGAAAATTAACATAATGTTGAAAGACGATACGGGTAAGCCAATTCCATTCGAGAGTGGGAAAGTTGTCGTCACGTTACACTCTATACGCAAAAAAATCTATATAAGGAAGTAATTTTTTGAAAATACAGAAATACTTTTTATCAAAGAAATGAAAGTAACTCACAATAGCGACGAAAGTCTATTCGATAGATATTACTTAAATTAAGCCGGAGGTGGAGCTGACGTTTTTAGAGGAGTTCGAATACAGCGAGGACACGAATTAGGGGATATCGTTGAAAGTATTTTCGAATCGACCGCCCCTCTAGTAAGATCGGGAATGAAAGTCATGGCACCCATTTGAAGATTAGTGTTAAGGCTTTAGGCAAATAGGCTTTAAGAACTGGCATGGATTTAAGGGAAGATTTGTTGAGTGGTAAATATATTAAAACATTGACTAGAAAACGATTTTCCGAAGCAAAACATCGACTCAAACGCAAAACCTTGCAAAGCCGTGACAAAAGAATAAAAACACGCGGGAAAACATGTCAAAGAGACATTTTCGATACATGATCCATCTCCATATATATCCATCATTTTCAAAGGGAAATTTCATTAATGATTTGCTTCACCAATGACTGTGATATTTGATATAAATGTCTTTTCATTCTAATTAGTGCGAATGCACGAAATCAGAATTAGATTTGTTTGACGTACCTCCCACTCAAACCATTGTAGAAGACGGTCATTGGCATTATATAGGGTCGGTAACTGCTGTAAAAGATGGTGGACCTTAAGAATTTAGCATTTCTGGAGCTGGGGAAGACTATCTGGAAATACCTTTCTACACGTCAAAACACAAATAGTAAGTCGAATTACATAATCTACCATTGCTAAACACATAAATGACGCCATCAAAACCAACCCGTCAGTCGAAATACGTACTCTACCATAGCCAAATACACCAATGACGTCATCAAAACCAACCCGTCAGTCGAAATACGTACTCTACCATAGCCAAATACACCAATGACGTCATCAAAAACCAACCCGTCAGTCGAAATACGTACTCTACCATAGCCAAATACATCAATGATTTCTTCAAAACCAACCCGTCAGTCGAAATACGTACTCTACCATAGCCAAATACAGCAATGACCTCGTCAAAACCAGCCCGTCAGTCGAAATACGTACTCTACCATAGCCAAATACATCAATGACTTCTTCAAAACCAACCCGTCAGTCGAAAAACTCCGCCATCATAGCTACAGAAATGGTAAGTTAACTAAAAACCGATGGCGTCACACTCTCCAATAATGATATGAAGATACTGGAGGACCTCTGTGTTATCGTCGTTCTTCTTGTTGATATTGCCGTTATTGGTGTTGTCGTCGTTCTTCTTGTTGATGTTGCCGTTATTGGTGTTGTCGTCGTTCTTCTTGTTGATGTTGCCGTTATTGGTGTTGTCGTTCTTCTTGTTGATATTGCCGTTATTGGTGTTGTCGTTCTTCTTGTTGATATTGCCGTTATTGGTGTTGTCGTCGTTCTTCTTGTTGATGTTGCCGTTATTGGTGTTGTCGTTCTTCTTGTTGATGTTGCCGTTATTGGTGTTGTCGTCGTTCTTCTTGTTGATATTGCCGTTATTGGTGTTGTCGTCGTTCTTCTTGTTGATGTTGCCGTTATTGGTGTTGTCGTCGTTCTTCTTGTTGATGTTGCCGTTATTGGTGTTGTCGTCGTTCTTCTTGTTGATATTGCCGTTATTGGTGTTGTCGTCGTTCTTCTTGTTGATGTTGCCGTTATTGGTGTTGTCGTTCTTCTTGTTGATATTGCCGTTATTGGTGTTGTCGTTCTTCTTGTTGATATTGCCGTTATTGGTGTTGTCGTCGTTCTTCTTGTTGATGTTGCCGTTATTGGTGTTGTCGTTCTTCTTGTTGATATTGCCGTTATTGGTGTTGTCGTCGTTCTTCTTGTTGATATTGCCGTTATTGGTGTTGTCGTCGTTCTTCTTGTTGATGTTGCCGTTATTGGTGTTGTCGTCGTTCTTCTTGTTGATGTTGCCGTTATTGGTGTTGTCGTCGTTCTTCTTGTTGATATTGCCGTTATTGGTGTTGTCGTCGTTCTTCTTGTTGATGTTGCCGTTATTGGTGTTGTCGTTCTTCTTGTTGATGTTGCCGTTATTGGTGTTGTCGTCGTTCTTCTTGTTGATATTGCCGTTATTGGTGTTGTCGTTCTTCTTGTTGATATTGCCGTTATTAGTGTTGTCGTTCTTCTTGTTGATATTGCCGTTATTGGTGTTGTCGTTCTTCTTGTTGATATTGCCGTTATTGGTGTTGTCGTCGTTCTTCTAGTTGATATTGCCGTTATTGGTGTTGTCGTCGTTCTTCTTGTTGATATTGCCGTTATTGGTGTTGTCGTCGTTCTTCTTGTTGATGTTGCCGTTATTGGTGTTGTCGTTCTTCTTGTTGATGTTGTCGTCATTGTTGTTGTTGGTTTGATTGTTGATGTTGTAGTTGCTGTCGTTGTGGTGTTGTTGTTGTGGTTGTTGCGTTGTTGGTGTTGTAAGTGTTGTAGTTATTGTCGTTGTGGTGTTGTTGTCGTTGTTGTGTTGTTGGTGTCGTTAGTGTTGTTGTTGGTGTCGTTGTGGTGTTGTTGTCGTTGTTTTGTTGATGTTGTCGTCATTATTGTTGTTGGTTTGATTGTTGATGTTGTAGTTGCCGTCGTTGTGTTGTTGTTGGTGTCGTTGTTGTTGGTGTCGTAAGTGTTGTTGTTGTAGTTGTTGTCGTTGTGGTTGTTGTGGTTGTTGCGTTGTTGGTGTTGTAAGTGTTGTAGTTGTTGTCGATGTGGTGTTGTTGTCGTTGTTGTGTTATTGGTGTCGTTAGTGTTGTTGTGGTGTAGTTGTCGTTGTTTTGTTGTTAGTGTCGTTAGTGTTGTCGTCGTTGTGGTGTTGTTGTCGTTGTTGTGTTATTGGTGTCGTTAGTATTGTTGTTGTGGTGTTGTTATTACATGTAAGTCCTGTGAGCACTCCGCCCTAGTTGTTCGCTATAGCTGTATCCCACCTAGCTCGTCTGCCGATCGATTCCACGCTCAGCTGCAGTACAATCATTCACTCCGACTGGTGGTATTTCTCCTCGCCATCTGGGTCTAGGCCATGACGTCACACTGCCATTCATTAATCTCGAGCCTCTCTGTACTATGACGACAGTGCCGGCGTGTTCATGAACTCAACAAAGATTTGAACGTCATCTCGAAAATCATCGTCGCATTTACAATGCGTGTGACAATATTGCTAAAGGTCACTTGCCAATACAGTCGGAAGTGGGATATTGAGCTTCAATATTAGTAAGAGTACAGAAACTACGTCTTTGGTAATGTTCTGACATTTTGGCTATTCTGTCAATGTACTATTGAGACGTCTGATGGCGATGTTGTTTGTATATCAGTTTTATTTAACATCATATATATATATATATATATATATATATAAGAGACCTTGGCTTCTCCGATGAATTATTTTTCCTGATTTAGTAATAAAGTACAAACTTATTATATATAAGAATTTTTGAGAAAACACAAGAAGCTAATATATTTTTCGTTTGTATGTACACAACATTTTTAGGAACGCAGGTATCCAAATAATATACGTGACATATGTATCCAGGAAAACTCGTATGGTACACGTGTCTTGGTAGAACGAACATGACACGTGGTATGCTAATAGAACACACCTGACAAACATATCTAGTTAAACGTACATAACACATGTGTCCATGTATAACGTAGTGACACATGTTTCCGGGTAGAACGTACGTGACACACTATCCTGGTAAAAAGTACATGACACATGTATCCTGGAGAAAAGTACGTGACACGTATCCTGGTAGAACGTACATGACACACGTATCCTGGTAGAACGTACATGACACACGTATCCTGGTTAAAAGCACGTGACACACGTATCCTGGTAAAAAGTACGCGACACACGTATCCTGGTACAACGTACATGACACACGTATCCTGGTACAACGTACATGACACACGTTTCCTGGTAGAACGTACGTGACACACGTATCCTGGTAGAACGTACATGAAACACGTACATTGGTAGAACGTACGTGACACACGTATCCTGGTACAACGTACATGACACACGTATCCTGGTTAAAAGCACGTGACACACGTATCCTGGTAAAAAGTACGCGACACACGTATCCTGGTACAACGTACATGACACACGTATCCTGGTACAACGTACATGACACACGTTTCCTGGTAGAACGTACGTGACACACGTATCCTGGTAGAACGTACATGAAACACGTACATTGGTAGAGAGTGCACACAACACAATTACTATATAGTTCACCACAAGTTAGAGGCTATTTCATCACACAACACAATTTCTACTTAGTTCACAGGTATTGCGAGCTGGACAATCTTTACAAATTGCCAATGGAGATCAACACTTTGAACCTTTAATTCCGTCGTCATGACGACACTGCATTTCATATAGGGACTATGTAGAATACCATTTATCAAAAACCCTTGTCTTGAATGAATATTTAATCGTTTATTCGTATCACTATCATATTCACCACCAGTCAGTTAAATTTACGTTACAATTTACATGAAATGGAGAGATAATCTAAGGGAAGTAACTCTGATAGATCCCAATCGTATATAAAACGAGATATCAGCACAGGGTTTATGAACGATATGTATATTTAAGTCCCTAGTTTTACCAAATCGAGACATTATATTATAAAAAGGACACTTAAATGCTTATCTTTACTTCCTTACTAGCTGACTTATCACGTGTTTTAACCTCAAATAAATGATTCATTATCGATGTCAAGTGAAACAGCCGTTCTGACGGAGAATCGTCGCTGATTCTACGTCTACATAGTGGTCACGTCATGGGTGGCTGTACCGTAAATCAGCTGTTTCTGGCTATTTTATATAGATCGCTACAGACGCCATAATTTATTTCAACGCCACCGCTAGGATTCGAACTCGGGTCCTCTTGCAAGTCTGACGCTCGATCGATCGAGCTAAAGAGAGATTCTCTGTGGCTGAGCGGTGTAGTGTGGCTAGTATTTAGCAGGGTTACATACTCCCCCTCCAAAAAATAAATCGTCCTCAAGTGTCCAGCGATAATTGTGAAAGTAACACTAAGTAATTTTTTCCAAGTCCCTACATGGGCGTCAAAGTGACAATTAATTATTTCAGTGCCTCCGTTAGAATTCGAACCCGGGACCCCAGGCTTACAAATCTGAAGTTCAACCGATCAAATTAAAGAAAAGTTCTCTGGACGCGAATACTGTATTGCGGCTAGTATTTACAAGGGTTATAATACACATTATCATTTCTTCTTCGACGACGATAAGCAGGTTCCATTTTAACGGTTTTCTGGGTCCTTTATTTGAAAAATTATAAGATTGGAAACATCTATATATGCCATGAGTAATTTTATGTGACAACATCTGATGCAACGAGACAAGATAGCTCAGCCGTTTCTATACTGTGTAGTAGGTAGGTATACGACAACGGGGTCCAGAGCAAACCCTGTGATCTTGGATAGCAGAAGCCAGGGCAAGTTCTGGTCAAAACAACAGTGAGACTGTTCTGTAATATTGTAGGGATTCCAAAAAGATCTTACCGCGCAAGGGATCTGTTTTCCACAGGTTAGCTATTTTTAACAGACGTGGAAAACCCATTTTGACCTCCCAGAGTTATTGTCCTTGTTTTACTTCGTCAGATGGTCTGACAGCCGACGAGGGCCGAGAAAAACTGGGCTCTTTTATATGACGGTGGTTTCGCTCTTCCAGGGAGGTTTCTGTATTATACTGTATATTTCACTGCAATAGATGATTTTTTAAAAAATATTTCTTTGAAATTAATAAAACAGAAAACAACACAAGATTACGCCATATATAAAAATATCAAATATGAAATACATACATCAATAAAATATTTCATATAGCAAATCAGATATTCTTACAAAACAACCAATAAAATGACAGTGTAGTGACAACTTGTAATCAATTGACATTACAAACCTAAAGAAAAGGCTTTTATACTTTATATACTATCGAATTTGTTGACATACAATACATATAATAATGTTATATTTCTTAAAATATACGATTTTACCATGATTTGCTTCTTACGGGGAGTATAATACAAAGGGATATTGATATGTTCCCGGTTACTTGATACACATTACATATAATAATGCAGCTTTGACTGACATAAGATATATGACATTAATTGGTTGATATACAGCACAGGTACAAAAACACAGGATATATATAGTAAAAAATGTGATGCTGCGTTTCTATACTGCGCATGCGTTGTTGATCCTTCGAGTCTGAAGGCGCTTCCGGTTTACATTCGTCAGTCTATTGTCGATGTTTCGGTATCCTTTCGCAAGTATGGTGGCTGATTACTGACATTTCTCTGTTTTGTTTTCCAATGGCGATAATTGACGGGGACGAAAAGACGAAGATGATCGTTCTGTCGGGGCGATAATACATCGAAATGACAGAAATCAGCTCCTTCTGTATCGCTCTGTATCCTGTTAATTTCATTGGTTTCCTGAACCTCATTAAACACCCTGTTGATGGTAGATATGCTGGGGTTCGTGTAACGTACCTTCTTCAGCTACCCATACCGTGCTTCCAAACGTTTAGTGGTGCGAGATCCCTCTCATCACTGTTACAACCAGACAGAGCTTATCTGTGTCGTAATAGCTACATGTAACAAGGGGTGCACACCTCAGGCAGTGCCTTTCGTTCTGTGTGTTATCGTTCACAGGACCCGTATACTAACAATAAACAGCTAGGTAAGATGTTTTATACGTCTCTGGAGAGAGGTATTAATTATTTCAAGTAAGATTGAATACTTAATTATAATTACCTAGGGTTTACAGACAGTAACGGTTATATGATATGGTAGCAACATTAGGGAATGAATACCCTTCATATGCTGCAGTGGAAAGGCGGGTGACGAAATTGAAGAATGGCAGACAGAGCCTTGGGGATGACGCCCGTCTTGGAAGGCCTGTCAGTGTTGTAACACCAGAAATGGTCAATAAAGTCTATGGTATTGGTATGGCTGAGAGATATATAGCCAGTACAGTTGGGATATCACAGGAAAGAGTACATTCCATTCTTACGGCGGATCTTGCAATAAGAAAGCTCTCGGCCCGTTGGGTACCAAGACTTCTAACAACTGATCAGATGCACACCAGGCGGACTTCGTCGCGTGCTAATCTGAACTTTTTAGAGGCAGCTCCTGCTAACTTTCAGCATAGGTTTGTGACTAAAACGTGGGTCCATCATTTTACCCCAGAGGACCAAACAATAGTCTAAACAATGGAAGCACCCTGGTTCACCCCCAGCAAAGAAGGCAAAGACTGTTCCATCAACTGGAAAGGTTATGACCTCGGCTATCTGCAAAAGGGACAAGCAATCAATGGCACATATTACGCATCGCTTCTTAGGCAGTTAAGAGAAAATATTAAACACGAGCACTGTAGAAAACTCAGTAAAGGTGTGACAATGCCCCTGTTCACAAGTCTGTCATTGCCATAGCTGCCATTGACGACTGTGGCTTTGAATTGATAGAGCATCCGCCTTATTCACCTGATCTCGCTCCATCAGACTTTCATCTGTTTCCAATAGTGATAAAAGGTCATTTCCGGTACCCACTTTCAGTCATAAATTTAGTGGAGGACATTTTGAACGGTCAAGAAAAGGACTTCTTTAAAAGTGGTGTTGAGGCCCTTAAACATCACTGGCAAAAGTGTATAGATACTGAAGAGGATTATGTTTAAAAATAACGCAATATGTCCGCCAAAAGTCAAACACTTAGATATGCAGCTCACAACTTATCAGTTAGCCCTCGGACGTTACTCTTGGTGTTACCACCTTTTAAACGTAACTTGTAAAATTAATAAATGGCAATTACTATTACGAAGGACAGGCCGTGGGTTAATGTAGACTTCCGTCTCTACAAGGTGGTAGTGAGTAAAATCGACTTAATTTTGTAATATAATTCGCTGAATTGATTTATGGCATTTTTGGGCCCTATCATAATCAACATTGGTTTGATAGGCTAAATATTTAGAAAAAAAGTTTTGTTGTTTTCTAGGAAAAAATAGAGCAATGTTTGGATTTCAAGGGCAAACTTTTTGCAGTTTTGCAAACTGAAAATTGTTTTTACCGTAGGTAAACCAATCGACCATTCATTTGAATCAGAGAAAGAACTCCCGAAGTGTAATTGGCTGGTATTTGATCTGGGGTTTGGATATATAGAAGTAGGACAGACGCTGATCGTTAGCATTCGTTTGTCTAATATTAGAAGTGAATTGGTGATCAAACTTTGAGACACAGTAGAAAAGATAAATTTGCAATTTTATCTAAGTCTTTACCAAAACGGCAGAGGATAATGATGACGAAACATCTGTATGATGCAGCCCAATGCATCCGGTGGCTGTGCTGTATCTTCTTCTAAATTTATTAATGAAAGATACTATCAACATGTATATTAAATACAATCTTTAAGACAGTAGGTCGAAGACACTACTGATGGACTTTTAGTCCCCGAAATTTGCCGTATTCTGCATGCCACAGTATAATTCATTCGTGTCGTTGCACGCTTCAGAATATAAACACGTACTTTACGTTCGCCTGAAACTGTTTAATATTGACACATACATTTATTGTTTGGAGCTAGTGCTGAAGTGCCCCTCCCATCTGATTGCTGACATTGATTTCGACAAATTTGAATTTTCATTATTTGCCACCTAGACGAAATTACTTTATGATTTGTATGAAAATACTATTTCGACCTGTTTGTATTTTCCTCAGTCAATTACCATGTTTCACTAATTTCAGCAGTTAGCATCAATGACGAGTCCTAGAGTGATGAAGCTGGTGTATTGTGCAATTCTGGTGTATGGTGCAATTTGATCAGCATTATTATTTGTTTTGGGTTTTTTTTCAATCACTGTATCAAATTCTAATTAAATTTTTTTTTTCGCCGTTTTCTACTTTTATGTCCCTTTGCATAACACAGAACAATTTGCTTCAAACGCTTACAGAAGAAAATGACAAAACAGCTATATGATGCGGATTGATCCAGTGTTTGGCCCTACCTATCTAATTTTGAAGTCGTAATGAAAGATGATAATCTCGTGGTGCCATTTGTGAACTATCCGACAGGCTTTCCCGTCAACAAATCTTCCGCTTCGAATTTATAAACGTATGTATATGTGCTTGGAAAATTTGGGTATGTCGAGGTACTTAACACAGTCTTAACATACCTAAGGAGGTGGTTGAGATAAACTTATTAGTCTGAAGGAGTGTGACAAATTGAAACATTGTTGATTTCACCAGTCGTATTGGCCAATCCTAGACGCTTGTTTCCCCACCATTCTATTAGTTTCAACGGAGGTTTGTGTATTCCTAATTTCCTACCGATTTATTCAGGCTCGACAACATGTGCCATGCCAGCAGGTAAACGAACTTCCGGTGATCATGTCGGAAACTATTACGATAATGACAGCAGTAGTAGTTATGATTGATTTTGTCACCCAGGTCATCAGTAAGTTTTATCTAACCACAAGCATCGTCCATTCTGTTCCAATCCTGGCTGTGATAGACTTGGTGGCAACGTGGGGTTATCAAATTACCCATAATTGCAATTAGTTAAACTAGTACACCACGTACAAGTATGTTTGTCTGAATACCCAATTAAGGGATTGATCTGCATAATTTTATCTAAACACACCGGAAGTCTGTTTATACGGCAGCTAGTTAGTGCCACACGTAGTACATTTAATGACAAATTCATTATTTCACAATTATGACTTCATATGTCATAGATATCACATACTTACTTCATAATTCAGCCAAAATTTTTTCTCATAATTATGACTTTGTCATTTTTGCACCAATTTTATGTTTACTTCTTGAAAATCTTGTAAATAAAACGTATTATTGTATTTGATAATAACTAGATATCCTAATATAACATTTTATAATTACAATGTATGTTTGTTTGATTAAGGAATCACACAGAATGTTGAGGTCATCATAGAGAGACATGAGGATTGTCCAAGGACAAGCTGGATCTTGTGGATCATACAAACTGGAGACAATACAATCCGAGGATTGTCAAAAAAAAAAAAAAAAAAGCGGAGGACAAGATGTCTTGGGGTAAGTCCAAGACACATAGGAGGACAAAACATCTTGAGGATTGTCCAAGGAGACATTGCAGGACAAGACATCTTGAGGATTGTCTAAGGAGACATTGGAGGACAAGACACCTTGAGGATTGTCCAAGGAGACATTGGATGACAAGACACCTTGAGGATTGTCTAAGGAGACATGGAAGGACAAGACATCTTGAGGATTGTCCAAGGAGACATTGCAGGACAAGATATCTTGAGGATTGTCTAAGGAGACATTGGAGGACAAGACACCTTGAGGATTGTCCAAGGAGACATTGGATGACAAGACACCTTGAGGATTGTCTAAGGAGACATGGAAGGACAAGACATCTTGAGGATTGTCCAAGGAGACATTGGATGACAAGACACCTTGAGGATTGTCTAAGGAGACATGGAAGGAAAAGACATCTTGAGGATTGTCTAAGAAGACATTGGAGGACAAGACATCTTGAGGATTGTCCAAGGAGACATTGGAGGACAAGACATCTTGAGGATTGTCCAAGAAGACATTGTAGGACAAGACATCTTGAGGATTATCCAAAGAAACCCTGGAGGACAAAACATCATGAGGATTGTTCAAGGAGACATTGGAGGACAAGACACCATGAGGATTGTCCAAGGAGACATTGGAGGACAAGACATCTTGAGGATTGGCCTAAGGCTTGTACAAAAAAAACAAGGATTACAAGTAATCCTTAGGATTTTACAAGAAAATATGGGAGGACAAGACATCCTGAAGGTCAAACAAGGAAATATCAGCTAACATTTGTAGACATCCTAAGGATTATACAAAGACACTTTGGAAGACCAGACATCTGCAGAATTGTACAAGAACACATCGATTGGCAAGACATCAAGAGGATCATCCAAGGACTGATTGGAGAGAAGTAGTACTCAAATATATACAATATATAAAGGTCTGTATTACTGGATCCTACGGTTAGGACCTCATTTAACAAGCTGTATAAAAGATATGATGCATCTACTATAACCTGGCCCATATTTGCTCACAAACATAACAATACTTGCTCAATAACCCAGGAAACTCTACATACACAATATCTAGTCCCTCCTAAGATGAAATACAAAATTACAATCATTCATGTTATCAATGGATAATGATGCAGACCTTCTTCTTTTATCTTGGATTACCAATGCTTCATTGCTTGCTTATCTAGTAGTTCAACCAAACCATTTTCAATACTTTTTACTTCCTTCTTAGGTTTTATCAAATCAGAGTTTAAGTCTTATTGTTTAATAGCTTATGAGATAAGTAGAATTAATTGGATGTAGATTTTCTATAAAGTCAAAATATAAATAAGTAATTTTTTCCACTCTGTACGCTACCATACCCCATTCTCTGGTTATGAGAGCTTTCTTATACACTGGTGAACTATACTGAAGTGTTTTTTGTGACAAGTACTAGTACATCTTTACATAAAATGAAATACACCTCAGATAAAATTTGGACCAAATTTCTGATATCTGCAATACTCCTGGGGTTATGATCACTTCTGCTCTATGCACCCCTAGAAAATTTCCTGACAAAGTTGAAGGCACAAGTGAAGTAATTTAATTGGTCTAGAATGTGTTTCAGGAAAAAAAACTGACCAATCAGACTGATATGCTCCTTTGAAGATTCAAAGCCAGTATGTACAACATAGTGTTATGAGAGCGGGAGATTTGTTTGTACATTGAAGGATCAAACTTAATCTTCTCATCTTATCTACAAGGTGTTGCATATAGAATCATCAATACTCCAGGAGTGCAGAAAGTGAAAGTGAGCATAACCACTGGAGCATCAAGGATGATTTCTTGGTGACAATATCTTCATTGAACTTTGTGGGACATTCAGATTATCGGCATCCACAGGGGAGATAACTCTGTCCATCTGTTGGTTTACTTGCTTTCATTCAAGGCAGAATTAACTTTGTTCATTTTATAACAATATTCTTAACAAATGAGGAGACAGATGTTACTGTTAAAAGTATTAATGTAAATATTCTTCCTCTCATGCCATCTGTGAAATTCGAACAATATTTGAGACTTCCTCTCATGTCCTCTGTCAAATTCTAACAATATTTGAGACTTCCTCTCATGTCATCTGTCAAATTCTAACAATATTTGAGACTTCCTCTCATGTCCTCTGTCAAATTCTAACAATATTTGAGACTTCCTCTCATGTCCTCTGTCAAATTCTAACAATATTTGAGACTTCCTCTCATGTCATCTGTCAAATTCGAACAATATTTGAGACTTCCTCTCATGTCCTCTGTCAAATTCGAACAATATTTGAGACTTCCTCTCATGTCCTCTGTCAAATTCGAACAATATTTGAGACTTCCTCTCATGTCATCTGTCAAATTCTAACAATATTTGAGATTTCCTCTCATGTCCTCTGTCAAATTCTAACAATATTTGAGACTTCCTCTCATGTCATCTGTCAAATTCGAACAATATTTGAGACTTCCTCTCATGTCATCTGTCAAATTCTAACAATATTTGAGACTTCCTCTCATGTCATCTGTCAAATTCTAACAATATCTGAGACTTCCTCTCATGTCCTCTGTCAAATTCGAACAATATTTGGGAAACATTTACCAATACAATTTAATGAAAGGTTGGATAATACTTCATCACTTAGTAGAGAGTACATATAGCATGTGAACTGTGTTTAAAAATTTCATACAAGATTTTAAGAAACAATTCTTAGAAGTTTTTATCTTTGTGAGCCTTGGTGAGCTATAATAAAACTTTGACTTGAGTATCATAACAACCTATGTGAAATAGGTAGATCATTTGTATCTCATAATGCAGAAATATTCTTGCTGGTTTTCAAGTCAAAATGCAGAGGAAAAATCAACTGGAGGCAACCATTTGGTTGTGTCATTTTCAATTCATGATAAAACGTCCATATTTTGACATCACAAAAGATTTCTGACTGGCTCAGCCGATGAAAAATGCTCTAGAGTATATAACACTAGTGACACTACAGAAGCAATATTTCTAGAGGACAGGTGGATCCTGTGATAAATTTGTACATTGTTGATAAGTTTTCTGTTTTTGGAATTTTTTTTTCATATTTTGGTTACACAAGTGCATATTGCCACACATCTTCATATTTAGGCACCTGAAAACAGATTTCAAGACAACATGTTTGTGAATTAATAACAAAATCTGATATGAAAATTAAAATATAATTTTATTTCAAATTTCTTGTGAAATATTACTATAAAAATAACATAGAGTTTTCTAAATGCTAAGCTTGCACAAATTTGTAGCAGAAAATTTAGAAATATCACGCTTGATTGTCATGAGAAGAATTTATGCAAATATTATTTTCAGAAAAACAATTTGCTCTAATAGATTTATCTCCCTTGAAATGAATGCATGTGGTTACAATAAATAAATGCATCAGACATCACAATGCCCAGAACTTCTTTTAAAGCCGTTATGTTTTATCTTAAACTATACAAATTTTTAAATTCCTTTCCTATATTATGCTTTTTTAGTTACACATAATGGCATATAATTATATAACAGGTTTTAAAATGTGCACCAAATTTTCGCTTCATTGCAATCAGACATCAATTAACGTTAACATACATTTCACATCAATAAGAAGATAACTAATTAATAGCAAACTGACTGTGACACTAGTGACTATACAAACTGACTTTCAGTGTCATATACAAATACATGTTAGTGTTAAAGCATTTGATTTTTGGTACATTGTATAAAAATTGGTAAAAGTGCCTCCCCAGCGAATTGCTATAGACAAGGGGGACCTCAAGTAATTGGTATCACAAAAATTATATCATTAGATCATTATACAAAGATGCGTTATTAAGGTATTGCAAAAGAACCTGTTGTACAAGGAGGGAGGGTGGGGGTGGGGGCAGGGGACTTTTAAATTCCTCTGCACAGGGAGGTGTGAAGGAGGAATATTTGAGAAAACTATTCCCCTCCCCACTCCCCCCAAGTGAGATATTAAGTATCATGGAGTTACAAATTTGAGGGGCCCATTCCCACAGGGGACATCGAGGAGATACAAATTTGAGGGAGCAATTTCCCCCTCTCCAGGGAGATATCAAGGAAGATACAAATTTGAGGGAACCATTCCCAAAGGGGACATCGAGGAGATACAAATTTGAGGGAGCAATTTCCCCTTCCCCAGGGAGATATCAAGGAAGATACAAATTTGAGGGAACTATTTTCCCCTCCCCAGGGAGATATCAACAAGATACAAATTTGAAGGAACAATTTCCCCTCCCCAGCGAGATATCAAGAAGTTTTGATTAGACCATTTTGGTGAATAAATAACAGGGAAAATATCTATTCTATCTTTGGAAAAGGCACTCCTACACTACAAGGCATTATATCATTTTGGGTGGTTTGTTTGATTAAAGTGCTAGTGATAATTATTTGATTATTGAAAAGACAAAACATACAAAAAAAAAAAAAAAAAATACAAAACGAGAAACATAAAAACCAAATTCCAAATTCACTGGACTACAAAAATGATGTACAAATAAAGTTTTATGAGTCTTGAACAAATTTTGGGATATGCTCTGAAAACTGCATTGGACGGAACTTTAAGCACATCCCATTCACTCTGGCTGCAGATAACCAATGCTTTACATAGTCGAATGGATTAAAGTTTTAGATAAATAATTTCTACAAAACATACAACTGTGATTGATTTCATGCTAATTCAGCAAAATACAGGTTTCTTGATCTTATGTCTTCAAATTGTTTTAAAATACAACCATAGCAATGCAAGTGCTAAAGAGTGTATCAACTAATACAAGTCCTTTGTGTTGTTCCGTATAGCTGTGTGGGATGTTACTGTGGGAGGAAGCCGCAGTATGGAATGTTTTTATATATAATGACTCCACGTTATTTCCGCCATTTATACCAAAGATACTCCAAAACAAACAAGATTACCGTGACGGTATTAAGAAAGAACAGCTTTAAAGACTGGCTGTTCTAGAAGGACACGTCCCTCTGCTTGAGGGTACCCTCACAAAAATGCTCAATAACCTACTTAAAACATAATCAAATAATTGTCATGATTCCTCGGTAAAACTTCTTTTACCCAACAGTTTGCGTAAGCAGCATTACTACAAAAAGCAGCATGTTGCGGTATAGTAAATACTTATAGTGCGTAAAATAACTAAAAAAAACACTGTGAAATAAAACAAACAATAACATCAACATTGTTATTTTGTGCCACTGTTGTGAGCACACCATGTGGAGCGAACCTTATTTGTGTAGGCGTCATTATGTGCGAGATATCTAGAGGGTGTTATGGGCCTTGTAAGGTAATTATAGGCCTACATGTACCTGTGTGTGGTATTATTGACTGGTCTGAGAGTATAATAGACCTATTTGAGGGTATTACAGAACTCTGTGAGGGTATTACATATATTGTTGACCCCTGTGAGCGAGGGTGTTATTGACCCCTGTGAGTGAGGGTATTTGGCCTCTGTGAGGATATATTGACCCCTGTGAGTGAGGGTTTGATTGACCCCTGTGAGTGAGGTTATTATAGTTTATGATAGCCCCTGTGAGGGTATTATTGACCCTATGGATGAGGGTATTTGGTCTCTGTGAGGATATATTGACCCCTGTGAGTGAGGTTGTAGTTTATGATAGCCCCTGTGAGGGTATTATTGACCCTATGGATGAGGGTATTTGGTCTCTGTGAGGGTATTCTAACCATCTAAAAGTGTATTCTAAATGCATATTAAAGGCTTCTTTGTAATGATAGTATGTGTGAGGGTATTATATACCACTTAGAGATTATTACACATCATTTGGAGGGTATTATAGACCTAAGTGACATTATAACAGACCCTGTGAGAGTATTATTGACCCCTGTGAAGGTAATACAAATCTCTGTGAGGGTATTATAGACCTCTGTGAGGGTATTATATGTATTATAGACCTATGTGAGGGTATCATAGACCCCTGTGAGGGTATTGTATATCTCTGTGAGGGTATTATAGACCTCTGTGAGGGTATTGTATATCTCTGTGAGGGTATTATAGACCCCTGTGAGGGTATTGTATATCTCTGTGAGGGTATTATAGACCTCTGTGAGGGTATTGTATATCTCTGTGAGGGTATTATAGATGTCTGTGAGGGTATTATAGACCTCTGTGTGGATATTATAGACCCCTGTGAGGGTATTGTATATCTCTGTGAGGGTATTATAGACCTCTGTGAGGGTATTGTATATCTTTGTGAGGGTATCATAGACCCCTGTGAGGGTATTGTATATCTCTGTGAGGGTATTATAGACCTCTGTGAGGGTATTGTATATCTCTGTGAGGGTATCATAGACCCCTGTGAGGGTATTGTATATCTCCGTGAGGGTATTATAGACCTCTGTGAGGGTATTGTATATCTTTGTGAGGGTATTATAGACCTCTGTGAGGTAATTGTATATCTCACTGAAGGTACTATAGACCTCTGTGTGGATATTATAGATGTCTGTGAGGGTATTATAGATCTTTGTGTGGGCACATGGATGTCATTTGGAATGTAGTTGTATCATATCAACCAGCTGTTCCCTCAACTTAATGGACAATATTGTTATTTTAACATCCAACACTGATGCTATGGATTTCTGAGCCATATTTTACACAAGATGCCCATAGGGCCTGTATCATTCACATGGTTTTAACAAACCTTCGAGTCAAATATCACAATTCTAGGCCCTAGATTAAGAAAACACTTGAGTGTAACCTTTAATAATGGTCAATGTACTTATTTTTTGGAAACTTTGTTGGTCTTCATCCAAGAAACATACTTGCAAAATATTATGATCCTACCTCAACTTGTAAGATGTCTTTAAAAGGAAAATTAAACGGATGGCAGATGGACAGACAACACACCAAGGCATAATTACGACTTATTTCAAACAAAGAGTCAAAAATCAAAAATATAATGTGACTGTTGGTCCACATTGAATGGAAGCTATTTGGTTTCAGTATCACTGTACTATAGAACCATTATACATCATCATAATGTACCATCAAATACCAGGTAGCAGCATCATTCAGGTCAATTCATTGGACCATGTCCAAGATGCTGTTACATTCATTACAAACCCTAACTAAACTGAATCGAAACCTCATATTCAAAATTGTGAAAATGAAAGTTCAGCAGCAGCACCATCGGTAGTATTTAACTGTTTTTGGTACATAACTCCATCCCCAAATAACAAGGCCTGTACCTCACCCCTAAACAACAAGGCCTGTACTCCACCCCTAAATAACAAGGCCTGTACTCCACCCCTAAATAACATGGATTGTACCTCAGCATCAAATAACAAGGTCCCACTCCTAAATAACATGGACTGTACCCCACCCCTAAGTAACAAGGACAGTAACCCTCTCCTAAATAACAAGGCCTGTACCCCACCCCTAAATAACAGGCCTGTACCCCAACCCTAAATAACAAGGCCTGTACCCCACCCCTAAAAAACAAGGCCTGTACCCCACCCCTAAATAACAAGGCCTGTACCCCAACCCTAAATAACAAGGCCTGTACCCCACCCCTAAATAACAAGGCCTGTACCTCACCCCTAAAAAACAAGGCCTGTACCCCATCCCTAAATAACAAGGCCTGTACCCCACCCCTAAATAACATGGACTGTACCCATTTCCTAAATAGCCCACAAAGTACTGAAACCCCAAAAAACTAGGATTGTATCCCAGCCCAATGTAACATAGCCTATACTCCATCCCGAAATAAAATGAACTGTACCCCATCCTGAAAAATGGACCCTTCCACAAATAGCCTAAAGTTTAGCCCAAATCCAAAACAACATGGACTGTACCCCACCCTGAAAAATGGAACTTTCCCCTAATAGCCCACAGTGTACCACAAATCCCAAACAACCAGGACTGTAGCCCAGTCCAAATAAGTAATAATTAACATTTCATCTCAGAACAGTAATAAACTGGTCTCAAGAAATATGAAATTCTCCACAGATATTGCTTTCTGCATCAAACTTCCTGATAACTTTTTTTAGCACTAATGAATAGAAAAAGCGTAAATTAAGTAACAACCTTTGATTCTTTGGTCTGTAGACAAAGTTGACTTAATGAATAATGTAAATATAGAATATATTATTATGCTATAGAAAAGTGAATGCCATTGGTCAATAAAGATAACGTCCGGATACTTTAAGTCCTTCATGCTGATCCCTGTAATAACTTTTTTTTATCAGACACAGTTTAGCAAAAATAAATAATTACATATAAATAAATCTTGTTCAATAAATCTATGAAACATTTGTACAAAAATCAAAGCAGATCTTAGAGGATATATGAGACTCAAACTTAATAATATAAAATCATAGTCAGAAATGTGAAGCTCTGACATATTGAAACGAGGCTACTAGCCCATCATACCTCTTTTTCCAATAATGGAGAGCTTTGTAAGAAGTACTGCAAGTTATAGCAAATACATCATATCACTAAATGATTTACGTCCTTATCTGTCAGAACAGACAACAATCAGGAGCACCACTAAAAATTACTACCAGGAGCACCAGGTTCAGCCATCAGGAGCCCTAGAAACAGCCATCAGGAGCCCTAGCAACATCCATCAGGAGCCTTAGCAACAGCAATCAGGAGTCATAGTAATAGACATCAGGAGCAATGAACTTCAGGAGCCCTTATAACGGCCATCAGGAAAACCAGTAACAGCCATCAGGGGCACCAGTTACGAAAGATGATTTCACATTTATCAAATTAGTACATATTAACCACTGTCACACAAATATACAACTTCCTCCTGATTATTGTACTGATATCTTACACACTCCATGGAGAAGTACAACTTTCCTGATTATTGTACTGATAACTTACACACTCCATGGAGAAGTACAACTTACCTCCTGATTATTGTACTGATAACTTACACACTCCATGGAGAAGTACACCTTTCCTCCTGTTTATTGTACTGATAACTTACACACTCCATAAAGAAGTACAACTTTCCTCCTGTTTATTGTACTGATAACTTACACACTCCATAAAGAAGTACAACTTTCCTCCTGTTTATTGTACTGATAACTTACACACTCTATGGAGAAGTACAACTTTCCTCCTGTTTATTGTACTGATAACGTACACACTCCATGGAGAAGTACAACTTTCCTGATTATTGTACTGATAACTTACACACTCCATGGAGAAGTACAACTTACCTCCTGATTATTGTACTGATAACTTACACACTCCATGGAGAAGTACAACTTTCCTCCTGTTTATTGTACTGATAACTTACACACTCCATAAAGAAGTACAACTTTCCTCCTGTTTATTGTACTGATAACTTACACACTCCATAAAGAAGTACAACTTTCCTCCTGTTTATTGTACTGATAACTTACACACTCTATGGAGAAGTACAACTTTCCTCCTGTTTATTGTACTGATAACGTACACACTCCATGGAGAAGTACAACTTTCCTCCTGTTTATTGTACTGATAACTTACACACTCTATGGAGAAGTACAACTTTCCTCCTGTTTATTGTACTGATAACGTACACACTCCATGGAGAAGTACAACTTTCCTCCTGTTTATTGTACTGATAACTTACACACTCCATGGAGAAGTACAACCTTCCTGATTATTGTACTGATAACGTACACACACACTCCTGTTTATTGTACTGATAACTTACACACTCCATGAAGAACAACCAGCATATAACAGACACAATAACACGCTTGTTCAGCATACTAGATTAGTCATACAAATTCCATGTTGTTTTCACAACTAATGCTAAAACAATATAAACAAACATCTTTCTACAACTATCTCAAGCTTATACCTGCTGAAAATCATTGTTATGTAAAGCTATATGACCTGTACTACTGAATAGACTCAAACATCATGGATAACATTTTACAAACAGATCCTACATATGTTTCTTACTTGATAAACAAACTTTTACATACATTTATTACATCTTATTTGAATCCTACCATAACATATTAAGTAAAAGGATATTTGATCAGTTTGTTGTGATGAAAAACAAAAATTCTTTGACTCAATAACATCAGATCTTGATCCTGGACATAATCTAGAATATATTTACTTACTATCAAGTATTTGAATATTTAATTTCAATACAAAACAATTAATCTTTGGCTTAGTTATTTAGTATGGGAACAACATCATCTTCAAACTGACATCTTGGGTTCAAACTTTGTGGAAATCCTTCAGAAACAGAAGCATCACTTGTACTATCTAGGATGAAGATGGTAGTTCCTTATGAATGGTAAGCATTGTAAGTCCCTTCCCATAATTCACCAGAGTACTTCAGACACCTGAAATATAAATATTTCACATAATAAAGCAAAGGGAGACAACTGATGATAAAATTATCATCTTCTATCCTGTAGCATTCAGTAAGTTTGTAAAGGGAGATAACTGATGATAGAATTTTTCATCTCCTATCCTGTAGCAATCAGTAAGTTGATGAAGGGAGACAACTGATGTTAAAATTCTTGTGTGCTATCCTGTAGCAATCACTCAATTTATAAAGGGGGACAACTCATGATAAAAATCTCCTGTCCTGTATAATCGGGCAGTCTATGGTTAAACATGAAATTTGTTGCTGCAGAACACTTTTTTTGGTGTTTTACATTACTTACCGCCTCAAGTTTAAAGTGTAAGGTGTCTAACAATTTTGTAAAACTGGATAAATAATAAATGATACTGCCACACCAATAATTGGTATACAATGATAGCAGAAAAAGAATATTACACCATGAATATTGCAAAAAAGCATTCAAATTTCAAACGTTTTTTTTTTCTTTTATAAAGACAAATAAAAAATGGCATCAATATCACACATGACATTCCATTAATTTTCCTGTTGTCTGTGAGACTAATATGGAGCTTTTTACAAATTTCTAATTTACATTAAAAACCTCAAGATACAAATGTCCTGTAAGGTAGATATATGGAATATCAAAACAGTTCACAGCGAAAGGTATTAAATTTACATGATGATGTCCCTTTAATCAGTGTTAGGTATATTGCGTTAAACCTGATGATGTCCCTTTAATCAGTGGTAGGTATATTGTGTTTACCTGATGATGTCCCTTTAATCAGTGGTAGGTATATTGTGTTTACCTGATGATGTCCCTTTAATCAGTGGTAGGTATATTGTGTTTACCTGATGATGTCCCTTTAATCAGTGATAGGTATATTGTGTTTACCTGATTATGTCCCTTTAATCAGTGGTAGGTATATTGTGTTTACCTGATGATGTCCCTTTAATCAGTGGTAGGTATATTGTGTTTACCTGATGATGTCCCTTTAATCAGTGGTAGGTATATTGTGTTTACCTGATAATGTCCCTTTAATCAGTGTTAGGTATATTGTGTTTACCTGATGATGTCCCTTTAATCAGTGGTAGGTATATTGTGTTTACCTGATTATGTCCCTTTAATCAGTGGTAGGTATATTGTGTTTCCATGATGATATCCCTTTAAACAGTGGTAAGTACTGTGTTACCTGATGATGTCCTTTTAAACAGTGTTAGGTATACTGTGTTTACCTGATGATGTCCCTTTAATCAGTGGTAGGTATATTGTGTTTCCATGATGATATCCCTTTAAACAGTGGTAAGCACTGTGTTACCTGATGATGTCCCTTTAAACAGTGGTAAGTAGTGTTTACCTGATGATATCACTGAAGGCAGTCCACAGTGGTTTCACCTCGTATTTGATGTCATGTTTTTGACAAAGAGATTTGACGAGGGGAGCGACCTTATACAGGTTGTGGCGCGGCATTGTAGGAAATAAACTGTAAAAGAGACATATATATCTGTTTATTTACAGGTAACTACACTCATCTGAATGTTCCAAAGAATTACACAAGTAAAATGATATGAATTGAATTTCAATAACACCTGGTGTCTGCATTGTTTAGTTGTTATTTGATATATGAAATATGTCTGTGTTCAATAATTTTATCAACATCTCCATAGAGTTTGCCTACAAGTTGTCAATATTTGTTTAAATTTCATTTTGCGGCAGCTGGTCATCTGGAAACATGAGGTTAAAAAGGCCTGCAGTACTCACCTGGTATTCAATGCTTTTCACAAATATTAATACATCGTTGTAACATTTTACATTACATATGTATTGACATTCAAAGTCTTGGTTCATGAGAAGAATTTGTGCACAAGTATGAACAAATTTGACATCTGTGACCTTCAATATGGTTCAAGGTCATTCCAATTCCCAAACGTTGTCAAGCTTTACCACAAGAACCCACCAATTTATTATCAGGATTCTAGGTCTTTTGGTTACCATAATCAGAAGGAGGGATTAAGATATCTCTATCTTACTGGGGTAAGACAGTCAACACGCAATTACATACAACACATGCTAAAATGAAAGTTGTTAATTTGAGACCTGAGAGACGTGACTGATTGATGTTGACAGTTTAAGATAAATATTATTGATCATTTCTGAGTATTCAAATATGTTTATGGCAATTATTTATCATTGTGATTGCTATTGTACAATACATAATGTAGATTACAAATCGGTCAAAATAAAAACAAATGACGTTATTTGCCTCATGTTGTTTCCTATTTGTCAGCACATACTGGTCTCGTTATTCTTTTTCTAACATATTGGATATAAGAGGTAGAAAGGGATCCTTCACTAGTTTAAGGGTAGGACAGAGAAATCTCTACCCTCAAGGAAGATTCCCAAAAGTAAACCCTCCAGAAATCCTGGGGTTAGACAGTCATGGATCTCCTCCTTGAGTACAGATTTCTCTGTCCTACTCTCACGGAGGATTCCCAACAGTGAACAGTAAACCCTCCAGAAATCCTCGCGTTAGACTGTCGTGGATCTCCTCCCCGGGTAGAGATTTCTCTGTCCTACCCTCACAGAGGATTCCCAACAGTGAACACTGAACCCTCCACAAATCCTCGTGTTAGACTGTCATGGATCTCCTCCCCGGGTAGAGATTTCTCTGTCCTACCCTTAAGCTAGGAGAAGATTCTATTAAGCTATCTTGGAATGTGGCCTGCACAGTTAGGACCCATATACTAATTAAGCTGATTCAATAGATTTATAGTCTTTCATTGTGCCAACTGCAAAAATAGTTAACAAGTATTTTCGTATAGATACGGACGGATGGACAGATGGATGGACGGCTTGGCGGGCGGGCAGGCAGACAGACAGACAGACAGACAGACAGGGCCATTCAAATAAACCCTGTCGTACGGATGGACCAACAACGTTATCCCAACATATCCTTTCAAACAGAATCAAAAGATACAGAAACTGTCTGTGTAGTTTGTAACTACTTCCTCATCACAATACTTAATTATCAGTTTTAAACTTACTGATGTTCTATCTGGAAGTTAAGGTGCCCAGTGAACCAGTCATTGAAGGCAGATTTCTCGATATCACAGGTCGCATGCATCTGGAGCTTCATCCAGTGTAGAGCTTGGTCATTGTCCACGTTCATAGGGATATGATTAGACTGTGTGACCCAGGTAAACCAATGGCTCTCCAAACACCTGTACAGGTAAAATTGCTGAATATAAGATGTTACATCTGTACAGGTAGATTTGTTTATCATTAGATGTTACACCTGTACAGCTAAAACTGTTTATCATTAGATGTCACACCGGTACAGGTAGAATTGTTTATCATTAGATGTTACACCTGTACAGGTAGGTCTGTTAGATGTTACACCTGTACAGGTAGAACAGTTTGTCATGAGATGTTACACCTGTACAGGTAGACCTGTTTATCATTAGATGTTACACCTGCACAGGTAGAACTGTTTATCATTAGATGTTACACCCTGTTTATCATTAGATGCTACACCTGTACAGCTAAAACTGTTTATCATTAGATGTCACACCTGTACAGGTAGAATTGTTAATTATAAGATGTTTCACCTGTACAGCTAAAACTGTTTATCATTAGATGTTACACCTGTACAGGTAGAACTGTTTAGATATTAGACATATATATACAGGTCACTGGTAGGTTATATCAACATGTCTGAGACTGACCTCATCACAAAGTAGAACACTAAAGCTCCTCCAAGTCCGAGCATTGGTGTGAACAGGTAGAAATACTTAAAGAAGTAGATCATAACAAGCAGGAAGTCCTGAAAACATCACAGCAAAAAAAATCACTACAGAAATATCAAATGAATAAAGCATATCTATTAATGTATACTTGGTAAAAAAAAGTCATTTATTTAGTGAAAATAAGAAAAGAAAGGAAAACTATTATTGTAGCAAGAGATAGAGATAGATATGTCAGTATTGTATAATTTCTGTCTCCAGCTGTAGTTATACAGTATAAAGTTTCTGTCTCCAGCTGTAGTTATACAGTATAAAGTTTCTGTCTCCAGCTGTAGTTATACAGTATAAAGGTTCTGTCTCCAGCTGTAGTTATACAGTATAAAGTTTCTGTCTCCAGCTGTAGTTATACAGTATAAAGTTTCTGTCTTCAGCTGTAGTTATACAGTATAAAATTTCTGTCTCCAGCTGTAGTTATACAGTATAAAGTTTCTGTCTCCAGCTGTAGTTATACAGTATAAAATTTCTGTCTCCAGCTGTAGTTATACAGTATAAAATTTCTGTCTCCAGCTGTAGTTATACAGTATAAAGTTTCTGTCTCCAGCTGTAGTTATACAGTATAAAGTTTCTGTCTCCAGCTGTAGTTATACAGTATAAAGTTTCTGTCTCCAGCTGTAGTTATACAGTATAAAGTTTCTGTCTCCAGCTGTAGTTATACAGTATAAAATTTCTGTCTCCAGCTGTAGTTATACAGTATAAAGTTTCTGTCTCCAGCTGTAGTTATACAGTATAAAGTTTCTGTCTCCAGCTGTAGTTATACAGTATAAAGTTTCTGTCTCCAGCTGTAGTTATACAGTATAAAGTTTCTGTCTCCAGCTGTAGTTATACAGTATAAAGTTTCTGTCTCCAGCTGTAGTTATACAGTATAAAGTTTCTGTCTCCAGCTGTAGTTATACAGTATAAAGTTTCTGTCTCCAGCTGTAGTTATACAGTATAAAGTTTCTGTCTCCAGCTGTAGTTATACAGTATAAAGTTTCTGTCCCCAGCTGTAGTTATACAGTATAAAGTTTCTGTCCCCAGCTGTAGTTATACAGTATAAAGTTTCTGTCTCCAGCTGTAGTTATACAGTATAAAGTTTCTGTCTCCAGCTGTAGTTATACAGTATAAAGTTTCTGTCTCCAGCTGTAGTTATACAGTATAAAGTTTCTGTCTCCAGCTGTAGTTATACAGTATAAAGTTTCTGTCTCCAGCTGTAGTTATACAGTATAAAGTTTCTGTCTCCAGCTGTAGTTATACAGTATAAAGTTTCTGTCTCCAGCTGTAGTTATACAGTATAAAGTTTCTGTCTTCAGCTGTAGTTATACAGTATAAAGTTTCTGTCTTCAGCTGTAGTTATACAGTATAAAGTTTCTGTCTCCAGCTGTAGTTATACAGTATAAAGTTTCTGTCTCCAGCTGTAGTTATACAGTATAAAGTTTCTGTCTCCAGCTGTAGTTATACAGTATAAAGTTTCTGTCTCCAGCTGTAGTTATACAGTATAAAGTTTCTGTCTCCAGCTGTAGTTATACAGTATAAAGTTTCTGTCTCCAGCTGTAGTTATACAGTATAAAGTTTCTGTCTCCAGCTGTAGTTATACAGTATAAAGTTTCTGTCTCCAGCTGTAGTTATACAGTATAAAGTTTCTGTCTCCAGCTGTAGTTATACAGTATAAAGTTTCTGTCTCCAGCTGTAGTTATACAGTATAAAGTTTCTGTCTCCAGCTGTAGTTATACAGTATAAAGTTTCTGTCTCCAGCTGTAGTTATACAGTATAAAGTTTCTGTCTCCAGCTGTAGTTATACAGTATAAAGTTTCTGTCTCCAGCTGTAGTTATACAGTATAAAGTTTCTGTCCCCAGCTGTAGTTATACAGTATAAAGTTTCTGTCTCCAGCTGTAGTTATACAGTATAAAGTTTCTGTCTCCAGCTGTAGTTATACAGTATAAAGTTTCTGTCTCCAGCTGTGTTATACAGTATACAGTTTCTGTCTCCAGCTGTAGTTATACAGTATAAAGTTTCTGTCTCCAGCTGTAGTTATACAGTATAAAGTTTCTGTCTCCAGCTGTAGTTATACAGTATAAAGTTTCTGTCTCCAGCTGTAGTTATACAGTATAAAGTTTCTGTCTCCAGCTGTAGTTATACAGTATAAAGTTTCTGTCTCCAGCTGTAGCTATACAGTATAAAGTTTCTGTCTTCAGCTGTAGTTATAGTGTTGTAGAAATATACATACTGTTAACAGCCTCCGGGTGTAGATATGTCTGAACAGCATAAACTGGAAATATACTGGAAACAGCAAGGGGGGCCCAACTGAAATTAGATAATCATATTTCTTCACATGTGGATTTTAATTTAACATATCAGTTCTACTTTCTTTATAACATATATATAAATACACACTTGTTTCAGGAAAAGTTCATGGCGGAGCACAAGAAAAGGCCCATGGGGTGGACTTACCTGTCCAGGAATGATACTACTTACTTAAGAAGAAATACTTGTGTTGTAGATTGAATGGCATGGATTTTCGCCTTGATTTTGCTACCTGCAATAGAACAGTGTATTAAATATTTACTATTTCATACTAAAAGAACGGTCAAACAAGAGATCCCAGAGGGATCTTGGTGCCCACCATTTGAGGATCTGTTTTCAGTTCTCGAAGATTTGTTTATTTTTTTTTGTTTGTTACAGGTGTTGTAAATGTTCATGAACTGGTCTTCATTGAATGTACTCAATGATGGCACAAGATATTTTTATTAAGCACCTCTTAGCAAATATCATTTGAAAAAGATCCCAAAGTATTATTAGACAGCAGTCAGTTACAGGTGGATAATGGACAATATGCTTGTGCTGTATTACTGTCGACATCCAAGATGGCTGCCTGTGGGTCACCTTGATTTCAAATCAGTCCAAAAAAGGTACAATGCACAACTAGGGACCAAGGGAAACCAATATCAATGAAATATCAGAAGGATCCATCCATTACTTCCTCAGATATAGCAGTAACAAGATTTTACTCTCAAAATCCCATCTTAATTTTGGATCAGTCTAGAAAGGTATAATGCACAACTTGGAACCAAAGGGAACCTGCATATGAAATTTGAGAAAGATCCATCCAGTACTTTCCAAGAAATAGCAGTAGCAAACTTTTACATTCAAAATCCAAGATGGCCATCTGTCGGCCATCTTGAATTCGAATCAGTCCAAAAAAGGTACAATGCACAACAAGAGACCAAGGGGAACCTGCATATGAAATTTGAGAAAGATCCATCCAGTGCTTTCCAAGAAATAGCAGTAACAAACTTTTACATCCAAAATCCAAGATGGCCACCTGTCGGCCATCTTGAATTCGAATCAGTCCAAAAAAGGTACAAAGCACAACAAGGGACAAAGGGGAAACTGCACGAAATTTGAGAAAGAAGTACTTCCTCAGATATAGCAGTAACAAACTTTTACTTCCAAAATCCAAGATGGCTGCCTGTCGGCCATCTTGAATTCGAATCATTCCAAAAAAGGTACAATGCACAACTAGGGACCAAGGGGAACCTGCATATGAAATTTGAGATCCAGTACTTTTCCAGAAATAGCGGTAACAAGAATTGTTTACGGACGGACGGACCACGGACCACGGACCACGGACCACGGATGGCAGGGTGATTTGAATACCCCACCATCTGATGATGGTGGGCTAAAAATGGGGCAAAGCCACAACTGGCCAGGTTGTGGGATGAGTGCAATGTTATTTTGGCATTTATAAGACAGTTAAAGGTGTTTCATTTGTTGAGTATATAGAATATTTGTTATAAGAGAGAAAGTTTGGTTGTATATTATGAATTAATGCAGTTTGTAGTAGTTTCTGAGAAACTGTGATAACAAGAAAAGTTTCAGAAAATGACTAAGTTCAGAAAATCTTAAAAAATGTCTGGAATGAATCCATAATAGGAGGTGCACATCTTCAACATATACATAAACATCCTACAAAGTTTCCAGCTTCTACATCAAAAACTCTAGGAGGAGTTGATTCTACAAAACTGGTACCCCTTTTCCCCACCCACCCACCTGCTCGACATTCACCATACTATAACCATGATTTGCACTATGTGCAACCCGGCCAAAAATTACCAGTTTGTGGACACCATCATGGATAAATGTAACTTAATAAATCCACTTATACTTATTTCTAACAGTTCGTAGACATAATATTGATTCGTGGATTAAGAGCATTCACAAAATGAAAGAAAATAAATTCCCCATGAAAATGATTTATTATGCAGGATACAGCTCAGTCAAACTCTATATACTGTGGAGAAGAAGACAGCTGATGTTTGTATTACAACACTATCACTGTTATGTCACTGGATAAGGTTATACAACAAACGAGTGCCACCGTGTTTAGGGGATAACCTTGTGAAATCTCTGCATATTACACAGGTATAGTACATACAGGATCTTAATATGAGTTTTATTTCACATGAGACCTTATAAAATGAGTCTTGAACGTTTTAAATTTTGCAAGCAAACAATCAAAAATTATAGATGTGCTTCAGAAAATCTTATATGGAATTCAAACAAATTTAAGATACTTTTTAACATAATTCTGAAAAGTCTGAAAATCCAAAGTTGTAGGACAAAATCAAACAGAGGTAGCCATTTTCAATCTAGACGTAATGTAATGGTACGCCATCATGAGCTACTAATGACCGTCATGGCCTCTAAACAAGTAGCTCATTGGGCCTGTATTGTGCGCATATGTTTGTCTTAATTTCTTTAATTTCCAAACTAAAGGAAAATGAATTCTAAAGGTTTGTATCTATTTCTCCCATTAGCTCCAATGTTCATCCAATATGGACTCCCCTTCACTATAGGATGCTTCTGACCAAATTTGGACAGAATCTTGACAATCCTACATTTATAGAAAATCCCTTGGCCTTCAACCAATAATGTTTTTGACCAAATTTGGACAAAGTCCTATCATTCCCACAGAAGAAGAAGACGGATTTTTAAGAATTTGCTCTATTTCTCTTATTGGACCCTGCCCCTCCTGCTCCTGGGGGACCATTACCTACCGTTTAAACAAAATTGTGTCCCCTTCACCCCAGCAATAAATGTTTCAGAGCAAATTAGGACAGAAACCTGACATTCCTAAAGGAGAAGATGGATTTTAAAGACTTTGCCCAAATACTCGACAACATCTCCCTGACCTCATAGGGCTGGCATTGCCCATCGATATGAAATTGAGTTCTCTTCACGAAGAATAAGAATTTTAAAGAATTTACTCAAATTCAGCTTTAGACCCTGCCCATCTTGCGCAAGGGGTGTCAGACCCATCATTTATAGAAATGAGTCCCCTTCCTCAAGGATGCTTCTGACCAAATTTAATCAAAATCTGTTCAGTCATTCATGACAAGTAGTGTTTTAAAGAAACACTTAAAGGACAAGGACACCATGGTTTGGCATAAGCTCACCTTGGTTTTTCAATTGTGGTTAAAGGTTTGAGTTCGAGAGAGGTTGTGATGGGAGGCTTTATTATGAGAGGTTGTCGTGAGAGGCTTTAGTTGCAAGGTTGTGGTGGGAGGCTTTATATAGAGAGGTTGTGGTGGGAGGCTTTATATAGAGAGGTTGTGGTGGGAGGCTTTATATAGAGAGGTTGTGGTGGGAGGCTTTATATAGAGAGGTTGTGGTGGGAGGCTTTATATAGAGAGGTTGTGATGGGAGGCTTTATATAGAGAGGTTGTGATGGGAGGCTTTATATAGAGAGGTTGTGGTGGGATGCTTTATATAGAGAGGTTGTGGTGGGAGGCTTTATATAGAGAGGTTGTGTTGGGAGGTTTTATATAGAGAGGTTGTGGTGGGAGGCTTTATATAGAGAGGTTGTGGTGGGAGGCTTTATATAGAGAGGTTGTGATGGGAGGCTTTATATAGAGAGGTTGTGGTGGGAGGCTTTATATAGAGAGGTTGTGGTGGGAGACTTTATATAGAGAGGTTGTGATGGGAGGCTTTATATAGAGAGGTTGTGATGGGAGGCTTTATATAGAGAGGTTGTGGTGGGAGGCTTTATATAGAGAGGTTGTGGTGGGATTCTTTATTATGAGAGGTTGTGGTGGGTGGCTTTATATAGAGAGGTTGTGATGGGAGGCTTTATATAGAGAGGTTGTGATGGGAGATTTTACATAGAGAGGTTGTGGTGGGAGGCTTTATATAGAGGTTGTGATGGGAGGCTTTATATAGAGAGGTTTTGATGGGAGACTTTATATAGAGAGGTTGTGGTGGGTGGCTTTATATAGAGAGGTTGTGATGGGAAACTTTATTATGAGAGGTTGTGGTGGGAAACTTTATTATGAGAGGTTGTGGTGGGTGGCTTTATATAGAGAGGTTGTGGTGGGAAACTTTATATAGAGAGGTTGTGGTGGGAGGCTTTATATAGAGAGGTTGTGATGGGAGACTTTATATAGAGAGGTTGTGGTGGGTGGCTTTATATAGAGAGGTTGTGATGGGAGGCTTTATATAGAGAGGTTGTGATGGGAGACTTTATATAGAGAGGTTGTGATGGGAGGCTTTATATAGAGAGGTTGTGATGGGAGGCTTTATATAGAGAGGTTGTGATGGGAGGCTTTATATAGAGAGGTTGTGATGGGAGGCTTTATATAGAGAGGTTGTGATGGGAGGCTTTATATAGAGAGGTTGTGGTGGGAGGCTTTATATAGAGAGGTTGTGGTGGGAGGCTTTATATAGAGAGGTTGTGATGGGAGGCTTTATATAGAGAGGTTGTGATGGGAGACTTTATATAGAGAGGTTATGGTGGGTGGCTTTATATAGAGAGGTTGTGATGGGAGACTTTATATAGAGAGGTTGTGATGGGAGACTTTATATAGAGAGGTTGTGATGGGAGGCTTTATATAGAGAGGTTGTGATGGGAGGCTTTATATAGAGAGGTTATGGTGGGTGGCTTTATATAGAGAGGTTTTGTTGGGAGACTTTAGTAGAAGTTATAGGGGAGGAGAGGCGACTTTATTTAGAGGGATTGCTTAGGTAAACTTTAGTAAGAGCAGCTGTGCTTGGCAGGTTACATATTTAAAACAAACGAACCCTGACATTTGTAGGTTTCTGACCCTGATAATTTGTTAATATACCTCAACTGGCATAACGTCTCCAATCACAAACAATTTATCCAACGCCACATCAGGGTCCTTATGCATCTGAAAATAAAAGGTACCAGAAATAAAGTCAACACCATGTAATTATCAGTGATGGTTAAAAATGTCCTTCACCTTTCCCCTGGATAGCTGAAGGTGTGCCAGGCTAACCTTGATTCTTGAAAATCATAATTTTATTTGGCAGTTTGTTGAACAATTTAACAAAATACCTCTAGCTTGTTTATTGATTTTCACAATGAAATTATCAGTGCAGCAAATTAGGAGAGCACTTAATTAACAGATTACCTCATAACAGTTATCAATATAAAGATGAATCACCTGCTCAATAAGGACACTGACACAAGAGTAAAATTATGTGACAAACATCTCACATACATATTATTACTTTGTCATTAACAAGACAATGTTTACATACCACGTTGGGCTTGGCATGATGTTGGAAATGTAGATAATTCCACCAATGTGGCGACGCCCCCTAGATAAATAAATAACACAGGATTTATACATCAATGTGGCGATGCCCCCTAGATAAGTAAATAACACAGAAGTGATACATCAACGTGACGACGCCCCCTAGATAAATAAATAACAAAGGATTTATACATCAATGTGGTGATGCCCCCTAGATAAGTAAATAACACAGAAGTGATAAATCAATGTGGCGATGCCACCTAGATATTGTGTACCTAGATAAACAGGTTATACTGTGTACCTAGATAACCAGGTTATACAGTGTAACTAGATAACCAGGTTATACTGTGAACCTAGATAACCAGATTATACTGTGTAACTAGATAACCAGGTTATACTGTGTACCTAGATAACCAGATTATACTGTGTACCTAGATAACCAGATTATACTGTGTACCTAGATAACCAGATTATACTGTGTAACTAGATAACCAGATTATACTGTGTAACTAGATAACCAGGTTATACTGTGTACCTAGATAACCAGATTATACTGTGTACTTAGATAACCAGATTATACTGTGTAACTAGATAACCAGATTATACTGTGTAACTAGATAACCAGATTATACTGTGTACCTAGATAACCAGATTATACTGTATAACTAGATAACCAGATTATACTGTGTACCTAGATAACCAGGTTATACAGTGTAACTAGATAACCAGGTTATACTGTGTACCTAGATAACCAGGTTATACTGTGTACAGAGATAACCAGGTTATACTGTGTACCTAGATAACCAGATTATACTGTGTACCTAGATAACCAGATTATACTGTAACCAGATTATACTGTGTACCTAGATAACCAGATTATACTGTGTAACTAGATAACCAGGTTATACTGTGTAACTAGATAACCAGGTTATACTGTGTACCTAGATAACCAGATTATACTGTGTACCTAGATAACCAGATTATACTGTGTAACTAGATAACCAGATTATACTGTGTAACTAGATAACCAGATTATACTGTGTACCTAGATAACCAGATTATACTGTATAACTAGATAACCAGATTATACTGTGTACCTAGATAACCAGATTATACTGTGTAACTAGATAACCAGGTTATACTGTGTACCTAGATAACCAGATTATACTGTGTACCTAGATAACCAGATTATACTGTGTAACTAGATAACCAGATTATACTGTGTAACTAGATAACCAGATTATACTGTGTAACTAGATAACCAGATTATACTGTGTAACTAGATAACCAGATTATACTGCGTAACTAGATAACCAGGTAATATTGACACTTACATCCAACAGTTACTTGTTGTACTCACTTTTATGATTCCCATGAGAAAGTATTGAACGAAGTGATCTACAGCTGAATTCTTAAATACTGAGAGGTGTCCAAAGTCATGTTGTGTCCATCCAGCCTGCGCCTGAAACAGGTAAGACACAAGGATTAGGTTATATCTGGAGAATATATCATAGAAATATATAAACATTCTCTGTAATGTTATTTAACAAATACATTGATACTATGAAATAGTTAATTATGTCATAATATGACATTATCTTATACTCACTATAGGATTCAAGGTCATCTATTTACTATAGGATTCACAGTCATCTATTATGACAAACTTGGTAGCCTTTCATCCCAGCATGCTTCCGGCCAAGTAATGGGAATGAGGTTTTAAAGATTATAATTCATTTGACCTGTGTGACCTTTGAAGAAGGTCAAGGGAATTAATTTTGGTTGCCTTTCACCCTAACAGGCCAAAGTTCTTAGGTAAATTGGTAAATAAGGAATTGCATTTCAACATTTGATTCCAAGCTGTGATCTGAAACGGGTTAGAGGTTACCTGGTATTCACTTAAACAAACTTGATGGCCTGTAATCCAAACACCATTATGAAGGTATGATGAAAGACATGTGAAACAATGTAAAAAGCTTGAGCAGGAAAATGGAAAAATTGACTCCAGAAAAAAGCCAAAACAATTTTGGAAATATATATATATATTAAGCATGAAATAGTGAAGATTGGAATATTGGATTTGCAAGTTTTAGAAAGAAACAAATCCAGAATAGCAACAGAAGATAAAGCTAGTATACTTTATTCAGCAGTGTTTTTTCACATATGAACCAATAAGGTATGTATCCCTATCATGAAACATATACAACACCAGTGTAAGGATCGAGTTTACAGGAGAAAATGTCAGAAAATTACTCTCCGAATTACATCGAAATAAATCGCAGGGACTTGATCAAATACATCTGAAAGTCTTAAAAGAATTGTAGTTGATTATAATCAAACCAGTAAGAGCTATTTTTAACAGATCTCTACAGGGCAGTATTGTACGATCAGCACGGAAGGACATCAATATCATGGCTATTTTCCAAAAGGGAGCAAAATCAGACCTTGGCAATTATAGACCATAGAGCCTCACCAGCGTGGAAATAAAAACCTTGAAAAAACTAATACGAAATGCTATTATAAGTCTTTTTAGTGAGAAACAATGCAGATTTATAAACAAAAGATTCGACAATTCTTCAGCTGCTGATGGTCCTAGAAGATTGGACAGATATTCTGGATCACGGGGATGAAACTGATGTCATTTATACGGTTTTCATGAAGGCATTCGATAAAGTACATCACAGAAGGCTAATTGAATCAAAGTGCAGAGAACACTTAAAAAAGCTGTGCACGATGTATAGAAATAACGGAATAAAGCAGGTGATTATCAGAATATAACTTTATAAAGCGTAAAAAAAAATCTATCTTCCAACTGGAAATTAACAGGAAAAATTATTTTCTATATATAACAAGTATCATCATTACTGATGACACTGTAAACTTGCATTTATGACAAAATTTCACTGAGACTTAAATTTCGGAAAATGACCTTGATCTTTAACCTATGATGTATTTGCTTGTCTGAGGTAGGTAGGTCAAAATGAACATACATATGGAATTAAAATGTAGAAATATTGGTTGATTTAAGCTATCACAAATATGAACAGTGTTATGCCAATGCCAGGGGGGGATAAACAATAGATGATTGAGTGATATTTGCGACATAATTGTGCAATTTTCTTTTCTTTGAAATTGGTTCCAAAATTAAAAATATCTTGGAATCAATGTGTGCACATTTAGGGACAAAGAGAAACATACACATCACGCATAAAAACTTGAGAATTAAAAATCACGAAATTCTCCATGCGAGAAATTCAAAGAAATGAAAAAAATTATCACCGTCAAAGTCCATGAAGGCTGCCTGTTAGCAGGTATTTACAAAAAAAGTACATTTCATATCAAAATGATGTTTTAATCAGTCTGAAAACATAATACACAATCAGGGACAAGCATCTGGAATGTAAGAATTACAATACATTCAAAACTTCTCAAGAAGTTACAGCAAGTTAGAACTGTTAAAATCCATGTTTACGTGTTTATTATGTCATCATTCTACTATCTGTAATAATGCATTCACACATCAGTGAATGTACAAGTAATCAACAGGCACTGAGGGAAGTAACTGGAAGTTTTACACAAGGGCAGTGTACAGAAATACCTATCATGGATTTCAAGATATGGTGGACGATAAAACAAAAAAACAGAAACCTTAGAAAGTAGTACAGGTTACATTGCCTCTATCATGGACTTCTACAGATTTTTTTCTCACAGTTAGGACTTATCACAAGAAATGTTTGAAAAAACAACATAACAACATAAATTAAACTAGGAGGCAACTTATGACAAGTTCTAAAATATGATCTTAAGAGTCGAGACAAGTCATTAACATGTCCAACTATATTAAAATCACAGTCATTGTTACATTTTCGGCAGTTGATTAAACACCAACTGTGTAATTGCAGACATCTATCAAGTTGGAACCAATGCTCAAACTCTCCACTGAAATATCACATATATACTATGTTGTGATATTGTTTATGTAATGATATTTGAACCTCTTCTACACCAATTTTTTTGGTTAATATTATGGATGAAATTCATGAGATAAATGAATTAATTTTTTTTGGCATTGATCATGGATCAGGATGAATTTCTATGGAGGAAAATGTGGACCAATATTTCGGTTTGTACTGTAAAATATGTCAAATCCACTTCTGATTCGATGCTTTTCTTTTAAGTAAGAAATTTTGCTTGATTTTGTTCAGAATATGAAAAATCTGAAGCATGGAAACCTTTCAGGAAGCAATGTTTATTTTGACAGTTGTTGAGTGCAGCAGAGTTGGCTAAGCAGTCATCTGCTTGAATCCATATTACCACTGCTTTGTTTGAGAGCTCTTTTTTATCAGAGGTAGAAAAGTACCCTACATCCCACATCATGAGTGGACAAGTCAGTCGCTTTGTGGAATGAGATCCGAAATTAAAATAAGTGTTCAAGCACTGGTTAGGACTTAACACAGGTCAATATGTGACAGTAAAAATTACGGAGAAGAAAAGTATAAACGGAGAGGTTGAGTAAAAACTCATCAGGTTCCATTGGTGGATGTAAAGTTTACCGCCTACAAATGGGATGTGTTAAATACTCTAAGCATGAAGATATTCTCAGATAAATTGTCAAGTAGTCGATGAATATTGAAATTGCTTCATTTTTTTTCTTGTAGCCTCCCCTTGTCCATCATTATGCGATAAACTCAGGTTTCTTACACCATGGGAAGTATAGGGTAAGAAGCATTAAGTAATATGTACTGGAAAAAGTCAGAAATACTCGTTGATAAAAAACATTGTTATGACTGATTATACATAGGCCCTTTTATTTATTTATCTTGTTACAATGTTACCAACCTTATACCAACATGAAACATATAATGTTAAAACACTTCTTTACAGAAGAATATGTATGTTGTTGGGTTTTTTGTAGTGAAAAGTGAGTCCACATACTGGTTCCCAGTATCTAAAAACTACGAGTAAATGAGCAGGTTTACAAATTAAGTAAATAATTTTTTGAGAAATAGGATACACAGATCTTTCGTTAACAGAATTTCTTCCATGGATTACTCAGTGTTGAGTAGAATACCCCAGGAGACATATCAATATATAAATCGATATTGTTTATCATCTATCTAAACCATTTATCAAATTACACGATATTGAATATTTTAATCACTGACAATATCAAAATATATCGTGAAATCTACAGCAATGATGACAATTAACAAGCTATGTAGCAATATTTAGAAAATTTACAGGCCTGGTCCAACAAATGGTTATCAAAACTTCCTCCACTTAAAAACAAAGTTCTTATGACTAGAGAAAGGAAATAAGAAATTACCGCACGACAAGTGCAGATAAGGACATTGTAAGTCTGGAAAACATTACATCAGAAAAGGATACAGGAGTGTGGGTTGATAACAATTTAACTTTTACTATGTATATTCAACAAGCAAACAGTATTGTTGGGCTCAAAATATCATTTGTATACTCGGATGAAATCACATTTAAACGGGTTTATAAAGCATCAGTCCGACCATATTTAGAGTATGAGGCAAGTAGATGGAATCCTTAAAAAGACAAAGACATTGAAACAACATGTACAATGGAGACCTACCAAACTGATACTGAAAAGATTGATCCTTTCCAGATCATCTACGGAAAGTAAAATTACCAATGTTTGTTTATCAAAGGTTAAGAGGGGACATAATTGATACGTATAACATAATGAACTGTTTCAATGAGTGTTAGGTAACAAAAAATAACTCTGGCAAGATGTATCATCAAAATCCAGAGGACTCTCGCCAAAACAAAGGAACAAATATCGTAAACTTGATATACGAAAATATTCAATTAGGCCGAAAACTATTGGAGCAGTCTCCCTGATAAGGTTGATCTGGCAAGTAAATACATTGGAAATCTTAGAATTTGAATCATTTTGGACAACTACGTGCAAAATCTAGAACTGAACTAAAACCACACTGTGAGATAAAACTGCATCGAAAGTGATATTTGAACTTTATGTAAAAATCTCAGTATGGACATAGAGGTATTGTATGCCTGTGTTTATAAATTAAATGAAACAGGCCTGTACTCAGGGACATTTTATTTATAGAGAAAAAATTGTTTAAGTGCAACAAGAGTTTAAAGAAGGATCTTGGTATCCACTATGATCTTACAAAATAGCGAAATAAAGTGTCAAATCCAAGATGGCCGCCTGTCAGCCATTTGGTTTTTCTGATCAGTCCCAAAATCTACAGGGCATAACTAGGGACAGATGAGAACCTTCACCTGTAATTTGAGGAGGATCCATCCCGTAATTATGAAGAAACAGCAATAACAAGAATCGTGTATCAATAGAGGGATCATGAGAGACAAAAGACATAGGGCAATTTGAATGGCAGAAAATTGATGCTTATAACAGATGTATGATGGACCAGAGATGAAGAGTGATATGAACAGCACATAATCTGATGGCAGTTGATTAAAAAACCAGTCTCAGCTTAACATAAACGATGTTAATGTTATATGAGATTCTTCAACATCAGCAGCAGCATAATATATCACAATACTGATATACACCATAACATCATATCACCTCATATCTTACATTGCCAAACATCTTTGTCAGTTTATTACATCGATACACTTCACAAAAGCCATAATACCAAATACTGGTACTATTAATCTGATATATGAAATGTATAAAACACACCAAAACCAAGGTCAAGTACCCACCTTCATCTAATAGGCAAGCTAGAAATAAAATTATAGGGTTACCATACTAGATTTCTAATAGGCAAGCTAGAAATAAGATTATAGGGTAACTATGCTAGACTTCTAATAGGCAAGCTAGAAATAAAATTATAGGGTTACCATACTAGACTTCTAATAGGCAAGCTAGAAATAAAATTATAGGGTAACTATGCTAGACTTCTAATAGGCAAGCCAGAAATAAAATTATAGGGTTACCATACTAGACTTCTAATAGGCAAGCTAGAAATAAAATTATAGGGTAACTCTGCTGGACTTCTAATAGGCAAGCTAGAAATAAAATTATAGGGTTACCATACTAGACTTCTAATAGGCAAGCTAGAAATAAAATTATAGGGTAACTCTGCTGGACTTCTAATAGGCAAGCTAGAAATAAAATTATAGGGCTACCATACTAGATTTCTAATAGGAAAGCTGAAATAAAATTTTAGGGTAACCATACTAGACTTCTAATAAGTAAGCTAGAAATAAAATTATAGGTTAACCATACTTCTAATAGGCATGCTAGAAATAAATTTATATGGTAAACACTTCTAATAGGCAAGCTAGAAATAAAATTATAGGGTTACCATACTAGATTTCTAATAGGCAAGCTAGAAATAAAATTTTAGGGTAACCATGCTAGACTTCCAATAGGCAAGCTTTAAATAAAATCATAGGGTAACCATATTAGATTTCTAATAAGCAAGCTAGAAATAAAATTATAGGTTAGCCGTACTTGACGTCTAATAGGCAAGCTAGAAATAAATTTATAGGGTAACCATATTAGATTTCTAATAGGCATGCTAGAAATGAAATTATAGGGTAACAATCCTTCTAATAGGCAAGCTAGAAATAAATTTATATGGTAACCATATTAGATTTCTAATAGGCATGCTAGAAATGAAATTATAGGGTAACAATCCTTCTAATAGGCAAGCTAGAAATAAATTTATAGGGTAACCATATTAGATTTCTAATAGGCATGCTAGAAATGAAATTATAGGGTAACAATCCTTCTAATAGGCAAGCTAGAAATAAATTTAAGGGTAACCATACTGGACTTTAAACAGGCAAGCTAGAAATAAGATTATAATACATCAAATCTGGGCCTCTAACATGCAAGCTAGATATCAAATTATGATATACCCATACTAGGCTTTTAACAGACAAGTGTTATTTACCTGGACGGTGACAGCACACAATAACGATATCAGGTAAGGGATCCAACCTGTGCCGTAGTAGGCCATCACAGCGTAAGACAGGACATCCAGAATGAACACCTGAGCAAGCATTACCACGAAGAAAAGGTAACTTGGCTTGTAGAATCCCTGTCAAACAAAAACATATCCTTGTGAGTCAGAGCAGCTCACTTACCAAGGCCTCAGATGAAATCAATATACACTCCACATACACACACAACACAATTTTTTAAAAAGTTTTTTTTGTTTTTTAGATTTTTTTTTTCTATGTTGAAATTGTCAAAAAACCCAGATACCTTAAAGGTAAGATTTACAGAGGAAACCCTAATCTAAAGTTTGACTTCCACAAAATTAAACCCAATATTAGTTTTTAAAGAAAAATCACAAAGATTTGAACCATTCAAAAAAGCGACATTTGCAGAAATCAATTTCAAATTTCTAAAACACTGTAGTATTAAGATAATGATATAACCAACATTGTTTACAGCCCTTTTTTCTTGCTGGAGTTCTGGTAGTAAATTTACATAAACAAACAAGATCTTGACATCGACTACCAGAGGTCACACCAGTACCAGAGGTCACACCAGTCTTAGAAGTTTTATATATCTTTACCATTCTGTGGTCAATCTCATGATAACAACAGACTTGATCAGGTCAGCAATGTTATTTAACAAATTTTCAAATAAATTTCCTGACTCTTACTTAATAAAACAAATGTATGTTATGGAAAGCAGAAAGTTGAAACTTAGAAATATGAGATCAAGGTCAAGGTGAAAGTCAAAGATAAGCTGTTCATACCTGATTATAGTATTGTTTTGATAATCTGCCTGATAATGACATCAATGTTTACCAAGTGATGTAGGAAATATTGGTTGAAAGATGGGTCTAGATACTGGTATCTCTCTGAATTTTTACAAATTCAAAGGTGAAGGAGATGTCCCTGTTTTTATATCTAACATTAGCCCTGACCATGTCATGAACCCGATTTTTATATCTAACTACCTACCGATAAAAAATATGCACAATTTATCAAGATCCTGTCAACATAATACTTTTTGGGGCTTTTCTCTAAAAAAGTAGTTTTGCCATTTCAACAATGTAAAGAAAGTACCTTGAATGAAATCACATTTTAAGCCAATCTTTTCAGTGTAAAAACACTAACCACTAATATATGTACGTATAAAGTTGTTCGGCACTTTTAAAAGTAAATGTTACCTACCTTCTTTCTGGCTGTTTCACATAATATCTTGAAGTCCTCGTCCAGACTGGACTCCTTAACATCCTCTACAGGTCCTACATGTATTGGGCTCAGGAACTTCTTGACAGTGGTAAGATCATTGTGAAATGCTTTAAAGGCCAGCTGGAGAAAACAAATGTTGACATTAGGAATCAAATATTGACATCATAAAATAAACACTGACATCAAAAAATAAAGAATGACATCAGAAAACAAATATTGACATCAGAAAATAAACACTGACATCAAAAAATAAAGAATGACATCAGAAAACAAACATTGACATCAGAAAACAAATACTGACATCAAAAAATAAACATTGACATCAAAAAATAAAGAATGACATCAGAAAACAAATATTGACATCAGAAAATAAACATTGACATCAAAAAATAAAGAATGACATCAGAAAACAAATATTGACATCAGAAAATATACACTGACAGAAAAACAAATATTGACATCAGGAAGCAAATGTTACATTGTACAATTTTTACCAACAAATCCTAAAGAGCCTTCTTTTAAAAAACCAAGATGCACAATGGGCCTGCATCACTCACTTTTCACTTTAAGCTATTTGCATATAAATTTTACAATTGTGACCTACAAAATGGGTCACAAGGTTAAAAATATTTGCTGCTTGTTTTCTAAAGTATGTCAATTACAATTTTGAAGAATTGTTGTTTTTTTTACGCGGATAGGATATTAGTATTTAATACATATATGGCTATCAGGTTTTCTAAACGTTTGTCATTCAGTAATGACCTTGCAAGTTGGTCACAGTCATTCCTTTGAAGAAAACATGCCTAAAATCAACACCTTGGGGCCATTGGTTGATGAGAAGAAGACATTTAAAGGGAAATGTTGAAACCAGATGTTATACTACAGCATAAGCCTTTTGGGCAGTTGAGTTAATAAATACTGAAGTTATTCATCAAAACATCAGTTTTGTTGTACATAGTTGTAAATTACTAACATAGTGAAACCTGCTTAATGTCATGTATCATTTGTCAGGGGGAAATATGATAATAAGTGAAGCATGACATTAACAGATGACATATAAGAGAGGAAGTTAATTTTCTGAATTGCCAAACTGACTTGTTTCTAACAGAAATTGTTTGAAGACAATAAATTTGTAATGTGATTTGTTTTTTCCAATAAGAACAGTGATTTTCCCTGACTTTGGTTTGTTTATTATTTGAAATAAATAAACTGCTATCATACATTATCATGAAAGATCAGGACATATTTGATGTCTTATTCAGTTTGTACATGGTCAGACTTGTATGTGACGCAATTGTGTCATCAGCTGATGTATGGAAAGTGACATTAAAAGACATGACATTAAGTGGGTTCCACTGTATTACAAAACAGAATACTGAATCAATGTGTCCTATTTTGGGTAGCCTCATATTAGTTATCAATAACAGTCTGCTTGTGTAACACCTCAGAGGTCAGGTTACATGACACATTTAAATCTATCAAAACCTATTATTACAGGCTTCCTGAACCATGATCAGGATATTGAGGAATCCTCTTACACATATAAAGTGTACAGATATGTAATCTGAACTATAAACATTGGAACAGCGCTCCAAATATGATCTCAAAACAAATAAAGCCCTTTAAACATACACAGTTATATCTCCTAGTCTCCCTCTACACCCCTTCCCACACACCCAGTTATATCTCTTAGTCTCCCTTTACAACCCTTCCCACATACACAGTTATATCTCCTAGTCTCCCTCTACAACCCTTCCCACATACACAGTTATATCTCCTAGTCTCCCTCTACAACCCTTCCCACATACAGCTACATCTCCTAGTCTCCCTCTACAACCCTTCCCACACACAGTTATATCTCCTAGTCTCCCTCTACAACCCTTCCCACATACACAGTTATATCTCCTAGTCTCCCTCTACAACCCTTCCCACATACACAGTTATATCTCCTAGTCTCCCTCTACAACCCTTCCCACATACAGTTATATCTCCTAGTCTCCCTCAACAACCCTTCCCACACACAGTTATATCTCCTAGTCGCCCTCTACAACCCTTCCCACATACACAGTTATATCTCCTAGTCTCCTTCTACAACCCTTCCCACATACAGCTACATCTCCTAGTCTCCCTCTACAACCCTTCCCACACACAGTTATATCTCCTAGTCTCCCTCTACAACCCTTCCCACATACACAGTTATATCTCCTAGTCTCCCTCTACAACCCTTCCCACTTACACAGTTATATCTACTAGTCTCCCTCAACAACCCTTCCCACATACAGTTATATCTCCTAGTCTCCCTCAACAACCCTTCCCACACACAGTTATATATCATAGTCTCCCTCTACAACCCTTCCCACATACACAGTTATATCTCCTAGTCTCCCTTTACAACCCTTCCCACATACACAGTTATATCTCCTAGTCTCCCTCTACAACCCTTCCCATATACACAGTTATATCTCCTAGTCTCCCTCTACAACCCTTCCCACCTATACAGTTATATCTCCTAGTCTCCCTCTACAACCCTTCCCACATACACAGTTATATCTCCTAGTCTCCCTCAACAACCCTTACGACATCCAATTATATCTGCTAATTTCCCTCCACAACTCTTCCCACATACTGATGTATTGAAGTCTCCTTTAAATCTAAAAACAAGAAAAAGTACATTATACAATATATAGACCATTATGTGGCAGATTACATAGGCTACAAAACCCCTTTCCTTTTTGATATGTCATTATGGGTACAGACTAGCTAGGTTGACTGATGGTCCTCCTACAGAGCACAAAAATTAGGGCAACACACTAGTTCACAACAGAATACCAGGCAGTATCTCTGTGATATGTTTGGAATGTTATTGTTATAATTTGTTTGACATATTTCAATTATCATATGTATCCTAAATGTGAGGACTTGCCGTGATGTAGCATCCTAAATATTAGGATTTGGCAATAAATTCTAATCTAAACTTTACTTACTGTAGCATCTTGTCCTGCGTAGTGACTGATGACACGAGAGCCTCCAGGGTGACGACCTGCCCAGTTAGTTATGTTGTACACTTGTCCCTCAATTACCAGCCATTTGTCATCTCGTTTGTTGTGGTTCTGAACCTCACTCCAGGTCAGTTTGTTGCCTCCCCTTTTCCCTCCGTGACCCATTGGTACCCTGTCTCCCAATTTATTGTTACCTACCAGTTATACTTCTCTTTGGTGTTCAAATTTCCTGGAAAGTTCAAAAGAAAATTTGTTTTATAAATGCATTAAAACAGGTAATATATTACAGGTATTGAATGTATAATACTGTGGCTCTACTAGGTACAGGGTTATATATATTTATAATATATATACACAATACCTAGGCTCTATTTGGTTCAGGGTTATATAACATATATATATATATATTCTGCTGCCATTTTTTGGTATCATTTAGTTAACCTGGACCAACTCTACAAGTCTTTTTTCAGATTTTTTATTTTGAAATTACATTTCATATTTCTATTCAATATTCAAAAAGAAAAATTCAAAATATCAACCATTTTCATGTCCAGATGGGTACCATCTATAACTACACCGGCGACAACACACTCTCCCATTTTGACCCAGACCATGTTAACTTTAAGAATACACTGTAAGGGGAGAGTAATATTCTAATTAAGTAGATTGAAGACAATAGGATGAAAACAAATCCTGATAAATTTCAAGCTTTATCTATTGGGAAATAGACACATGACTGGATTCTTTTTTTCCCATATCATTGACTAAATCATAAAATGTGAAGATGTTTGACTTTCATGTGTCTAACATTTGTAAGAAAACATCCAAACAGTTATGCAAGTTGAAAAGACCTGGCTATGCTCTTAGCAAGCAAGGTAAAACATTAAATTTTAAATCTTTCATATTTTCAAATTTTAATTACTGTCCCCTGGCATGGCATTTTTGAAGTTTAAATTCCACTAGGAAAAAGGAAAAGAAACAACAGACAGCCTTTTGTTTTACTGAAGATGATTACGTTGTGCGATTTTCAGAGCGGTTTGCAAACACTTATTTATCTTTTTTACACATAAGCAGAATAAAAACCATGGCATGTTAAGTTTTTGAAATTATTACAAATGTAGCTCCCTCAGCAGTGAAAGACAGCTGGTGCTCCCAAGAGTTAGAACAGCCAGGTATGGTTTTAATTTTTTCCACTACAAGGCAGCCCGGATGTGGAAAGGTTTGCTTTCTCATTTAAGGAAAGTTTATCAGGCTGTTGTGCACCTAGGATAGCCCTGTATTTTAATCTCTTATAACTGTTTACCTGTTTTTTGTGCTGTTTGTTTTTATGTTATTTATCAAAATTTATTAATCTAATTTGATTTATATAGCCTTCATTTTATTTTTGTATAATACTTTATATATTCATAACTGGCAGTGAAGTTTCTAACCCTTTACTTCTAACATTTATTATAGCATATCTCATTATTTTTTTCAACCTTGGTTGATTTTTAATTTACAATATATTGTAGTATATCATATCAATGTTTACTCCTTAGCTGTATATTAACATATATATATTACACTGATTCTACCATAGCAGCACCTGTGTGATACCCAAGTGTTCACAATTATATCACAATCTTTTTCAGAATTTCTGGTCGTAAAATTTTTGAAAATGCCTGTGAAGGACCTGACTATGAGATATTTTTTTAACTCTCTGCTTAAAGATCTCCTGCGTCGGCTACCTGTAATAATTTACATATGTAATATGCATCTTTTCTGTTGCCTTTGTTTCTGTTGCTTGTAATTATGTTTGTCACAAAAATTATGCTGTTCCTAGTTTATAAATAAAAAGCATATGTGACATCAAATAAAATTTCTTATATCTTGTACAAAATCATCTGTACAGGTCTGGCAGTTTTGATGAAAACCAAACAAAGTCAACAATAACAGCCTAGGATATGTTTCAATTTGATTTGTTATTTATCCATCAAATATAATTTCAACAAAACAAATGTTATAAGAACTTGAAATATGTGTCAAAATTTTCAAAAAGTATTAAAACGACATTTGGAATGTAACTTTAATAAAATATTTGTCGTCGCTGGGTGTCGAACTGCACTTCTGTGAGGAACGTGACCCGTCTACACATGATCAGTTTCGCGTGTCGATATCACAGATTTAGATGAAAATTCGTGTTGTATGTGTTGATGAGTCTATCATGAACCGATATCAACACCACAAGATTTATCACCGCCATTATTTCAACAATAAGCAAATTGTGTATCGTTAGATTTTTTTTACATACATCTTACGAAAGCTTGATGAATCATACATGTGTGGCGTGCATGTTATACTGCTTGTACGCTACATATATGGGTCACTCTTATTTAAACCCCGTGCATGCACGAGAAAAAAAATCTTTGAAACATGGAGTTTCATAATTACATAAGTGAAGGCCGTTTTCGTCGTTATAGAAAGAACGGGGTGGCCCCGCCCATGTCCATACCAACCGGCACGCTGAAAATTTGCTGTAGTAACACGGTTATGCAAGTCTATTGAAGGCCTATATGGAGAAAAAAATAAGTTGAGGTTTATTCAACTGTCGGTGTCAGGGTACAGTCAGGTGAAGATTGAGTTGATGATAATAGTATATCTTACCTTTGTTGTAGTTTACTTTAGCCTCAATTTAGAGTTACTTACCCGGTATCAAGCACTATGCCGGTACGTCACAGTGTTTGCATACAGGTAGATCCCTATTTCTTCTCAATTATCCCCGTGTAGGCCAGCTCAAATATGTATATGTCACACAAATTCACTTCCGATGATATCATAAATGTCCAGTGTACATATTTGGGGCCGCACGTGTGTTTATTTAACTTCCGCAATTTCCAAATACTGCACCACACCGTACACACATGGTTACGAAACCACTTTTGTCGGTACAACACACTACAGCAGTTGTCTCCCTTGACACCGTGTTACTCAGAATTTAATTCACAGAATCACAAGAAAATTACTCAGAGAAAAGTATTGGTTTGGTAGGGAACTGTTTGTTCCGCCTGATTGGTAATATTAATTTTTTTTGTGGAAATAGTCAAAAAGATGAAATATTGATTCACACGTGACGCTCGATTGAACAGAGGCATGCATCCAGTCCGTGATACCGGTGACGTATGATATTACAAGGTCTTTGATAATTGGTTACCTCAGTCAAAATTCTGGACGTTTGATTTCGTAATGCCTTGTACACTATATATTTAATTAATTTGTATTTTTAACCACAAATAAATCCATATTCAGACGTTAACTTTAATTATTTGCAAACGTCAAAATTGAAAAAAAGACAACTTATGAAACTTAATGTGGCTTAAATCTATGACAAGCCAAAGTGGGAAAAAAGTCACTACATATGAATACCCATAAATAAATTATGGATATTATAAAATTATTTGTGGGTGATCAAGTCGAAGGCCGTGCGTATACTAGCTCTGAAATTCCCTGGACGTGCCCAAATTAGCATTCAGAAAAAAAACTTGTTAATTAAATATACAAAAAATCACATATATGAAACAGAATGTTTGTTCAATATTTCTTTTTCGGGAAATTTGAAACGTCAAGTCTGCCTTAATTAACCGGACGATGCGGTCATTAGCTGTGAGTGCTATTCTATACCTTATGAGAAATTTGAAACGTGATCAAATATATCTATTTATCTCCTTATGTACATCACAATAATCTGAGATAAACTATGAATATATCACAAAAGTTAGTAAATTGTTGTCATCTCAACCATCATCAAGTTATTAAGGGAAAGTGTATACTCTCAAGCGTGACAATCCCAGGGTTTAGGGTCAAACCATGGCGTGACACTGTGATTAGTCTGTGGTAGGTAAAGGTGACCTGGTGGCTAATTTTACCTTACATACTATTAAATTATCTTTTTTATAATCTTTGGCTTTACATTCAATTTGTTATACACAAATATAATACAAATACAGCATGGATCATCATCATCATCGTCGTCGTCGTCGTCGTCGTCTCCACATGTTGACTACATCAGCGCTGCCATGAATTAAATATATAAATAAACAATATATTTCATAGTCAAAATCCAAATTGATCAACCACCTGTCAGCCTTTCTGATCAGTCCCAAAAACAAACGGTCACAGCCAGTGACCAAGTGAAACCTACCCAACAAACCTGAGAAAGATCAATCCAGCATTTCTCAGAGTGTGACAACGACATCCTCGGCTGATTTGATTATTTACGGAAGCGTAAAGGGGCCATGAGACACTCGCACATAATGAACCAATTATTTGTTAGCTTTTCTAGTTGACTTAATCGTTGTCACCTCGGCGTAAATATGCCTTCAATATGCATTCTGCACGTGTATGTGTTGTGCTTATTAATAAATCAAACTGGTTAAAGTTTGTCTTCCTCGCCCCCACTGCCACCCGACCTCTTTCTCTCTCTCTCTCTTTCCCTTCTCTTTAAAATATATATTTAGCCAATATTTATGTAAATATTGATGACTTGATATTGTGATGTTTTTGTTTTGTAATGTATTGAGGAAAGGGCAACTATAAGTTTAAATAACTTGTGTCCGATCCTTTTGTAAATAATTTACAATAAACTATTCATACTTTTAATGGTTGTTTAAAAGATAAAAAGTCTGATGTAGGATTTTTATATCAGATAACCTGGCATAATATTTGTTAAGTCTTTGTGATCACTTACAGTAGGGTCAAAGATTTCTGTAGACAGAGCTTGGACATTGCCGATTTACTTATGGAGAAATGAAAACAGAATGCAATTCATCACCTTGTGAACCACATAATCGTTGTATAAGTAATATTCTTGTTTAATCGTTGTGTAAGTAATAGTCTTGTTTAATCGTTGTATAAGTAATATTCTTGTTGTATTTAATGTTACTGGCAGTTGATGTATACATATATACCACGACTCCAAGCTATATATTCTGTGTATACTTATCTTATTCCAATATAAATTATTTACTTATAACCTCCAGTGTCCACATGGAATGCCAAACAAATATAATTCTCTGTTTCTACACTTAGTCAACTCAAACGGCCGATAGAAATGAATTCTTTGTTTAAAGGCCAACATCAGATTATGTATACGTCTGTACATTTCATTGCTGAAACAACAAAAGATCCCA